AGGGTCTGGGCCACAGTGCTGGGGTGATGGAGGAAGTGGGGGTCGTCAGCCAGGGAGGCGTGAGCAGCGGGGTGTGCCCTGGAGGGGCTGTGAGGGCACCAGGGGGAGCTGCCGGCAGGGTCCAGCACGGGAGGGCACAGGCCGGGCATCTCTCTGTGTCCAGGCCCTCACCATGCCCATCTGCTGCTGGCAGGCCCTCCGCGGGTGTTTGTGTTCAGGCTCGGAATCCCATGCGCTTAGGCTCCGCCTCCGGCCGCTGCCCGGACTGGACAGTCCTGGCCTAGTGTCTAGGCAAACAGCCCCCCAGTGTCAGCCCCTGAATGTCCATGTCACTTCCCGAGGCCCCAGTCTGGGTGGGCAGAGTCAGCCCTGCAGGGGCTTGGCACCAGCTTCAGTGTGGCCTTCCTGGAAGATGCCCCATGCCACCCCGTCCCCACTGTCCCACGGTGTTCTCTTTGGGGCCATGACCACTGTCTCAAGGACCAGGACACACTGGCACAGGGCCAACTAGTGACCTAGCCCTACCCCATCAGGCCATGGGGACTGAGAGACAGAGAGAGACACAGGGAGAGACAGAGGCAGAGACAGTGGGAGAGACAGTGGGAGAGACAGGGAGAGACAGAGAGACGGAGAGACAGAGGGAGAGACAGTGGAAGAGACAGAGAGAGACAGAGGGAGAGACAGTGGGAGAGACAGAGAGAGACAGAGGGAGAGACAGAGAGAGAGACAGTGGGAGAGACAGGGAGAGACAGAGAGATAGAGAGACAGAGGGAGAGACAGTGGGAGAGACAGAGGGAGACATAGAAACAGAGAGAGACAGAGGGAAAGACAGAGGAAGAGACAGAGAGACTGAAGGAGAGACAGAGAGAGACAGAGAGACAGAGGGAGAGACAGGGAGAGACAGAGAGAGACAGAGAGAGACAGAGAGACAGAGGGAGAGACAGGGAGAGACAGAGAGACAGAAGGAGAGACTGAGGGAGACACAGTGGGAGAGACAGAGGGAAAGACAGGAAGAGACAGAGAGACGGAGAGACAGAAGGAGAGACAGAGGGAGACACAGTGGGAGAGAGTGGGGAGAGACAGAGGGAGGGTGAGAGAGGGAGAGAGGGAGGTAGAGGCAGAGAGGGAGAGAGCGAGAGTGTGAGAAAGGGAGCCCGGAGGGAGGAAGAGGGGAGGGGGAAGCGAGAGGGAGGGCGAGAAGGGGGGGGAGGAAGAGCCGAAAGGGGGAAGGGAGTGGGGAGAGCCGCCTTCCAACCCGCTAAAGCCTCCCTCACCTCCCGCCCCGCCCCAGCGTCCTGTCAGCCCGTGGCTGCTTCCAGTCTGGTGCGTGACCTTCCAGATCTTTCTTCCTCCATAGGTGTCCCTATCGGCTCTCTCGGCTCTCTCGTTGCTTCCCGGCAGGTCTCGAACCTGCGAACTTGCCGTCTGCTCCCACAGCCTCCTGCTCGGACCCTAGGAGGCCTGGAGGCCGCATGTCTCGTCCACCTGCCTGAGGGCGGCCGTCCTGAGTGGGCGTACCAAGTCTCCTTAGCTGGGCTGGACCCGAGGCGCCTGCCGTCCCCTCAAACAGTGCTCACTACCCACCTCCGGGGCCAGGATGCCACAAATCCATCAGGGCTCCTGAACCCACCGGCCCCGAGGGCCATCAGGAGAGTCCCCTGGACTATGAGAAATGGGGGTTTTGCGTCTTGGGGTTCTACACACACACACACACACACACACACGTGCAGCAAGAGTTCAGGGGCACGGGCTCCTCCCCCGGGGGTTCTCCGGCCCATCCTGGTGTCCTCTGAGCTGTCCCTCTCCCCAGTGGCCAGCCCGGCAGCGGGTAACCCGATCCGGGTCAGCTGCGGGGTATGAGGTAGTGTCTAGCGAAGCGTCATGCTATTTTATTAAGTCCGAAATGTGATCGCCACTGTTGTCACACTTTAGCGCCCCGACAGCCCCCTCGCAAACGCAAACGAGAAAACCAGAACCTTCCCCACATACCATTCCCCTGACGTCGGGGCAAAGCGCTGGCACGGGGCGGGGGGCCGGAGCCTGCGAGACCCCAGCAGGGAGAGTTCTGCAGAGGGAAGAGCCTGGGGGGGGGGCACCGGAAGATGGTTTTTTTTGGGGGGGAGGGCGGGTAGGAGCTGCTGATAATCATATTTCCTTGGTGCCAGGCGCCTGGAAAGTCAGAATAGTCAAAGTGTCAAAAGTCACTCACCCTGCCTGGCCTCTCGGTGGGGCCGGCCTCCTGCGGAGTCTCGTGCTCTGTGACAGGCTGTGGCAGTTCATGCTGCCTTTGGGGCTGAGTCACCAGGATGCCCCGTGGGAACTCTGGGGTTCTGGAAACGAACCCCCAGGCTACTGAGGGGTGCTGGGGAGGATTTTGCCAGCCCTCTGTTGCCACTGTGAATTCTCAGTAACTCGAAGTCTGAAGAGTGGAAGAGAGAGGGAGAGAGAGAGAGAGAGAGAGAGAGAGAGAGAGAGAGAGAGAGAGAGAGAGAGAGAGAGAGAGATCTGTTGTTATAAAAGATCTTGAAGCCTGATATGGGCTAAATTACAGACACACACTCCCCCTCCCCCAGTGAGTCCCCTCGCTGTTCCCAAACAGAACTTACCACCTCTGGGTAGCCACTGGCCTCCTTCCTTTGTCCCACTACCTTAGTGTTGCCAGAACTTTCTGCAATGATGGAAGTAAATGCACCATCCAAGATGGGACCCCCACTGGCCCCGTGTGGAATCTTGGAATTTTTTTTGTTGTTTCTGATTTTAATGCACTGAGAATGTGGCCAGCTCACCTGGTGAACTGCTTTGGGTTCGGATGCTTTCTCTTGGCAAGGGCAATAAACTAGATCTCAGACACACACCCCCCCCCCCCGCAAGAATCAGGATTATGGGGGCCTGGAAAGACAGGAATAGAAAACAGTAAGCAGAAAAGGTCTAGTTCTACCCCAGATAGCAGCAGACTCATGGGCACTTACTTGGTGTCCTACATTTCCAGAACTCTCCAAAGTTTTCTCATCCGGGTCACCAGGGATTGGCATTGCCTTTGCTCTGACTGACTTTAACAGCCGTTGGCACCGGAAGCCCTTTGGCGGGTGCCTTAGGGATTCTGAACAGCCACGCTGGGGGGTTAAGGTGTTTCCCCAGAGAGAACCAAGAGAGTAAGAGGGGTTCAAGAACAGTGTGCAGTGGGGTCTGCTGCATGGTGGGTCCTTGATTCCCAGCTCATGGAGCGGGGACAAGTCGGGGGGGCCGGGGAAGGAGCTCATTCTCAGGGGAGCCCCAGTCCACCAGGACCAAGAACATTCTGAGCAGAGGAGATGCCTGAGAGCAGGCAAAGTTCTCCGGAGGTGGGAGACGAGCCGTCCTGCGTCCCGGGGGTCCCCATTCCATGCCTTGTGCCCGGTAGAAGAGAACCTTCTCTTGCTTGCAGAACTGTCGCGACTTGGGCGATAAAATCATGGTCAGTCCCCTTGGAGCCAACCTGTTTATTTCTAAGGAAACTTGTGAATAAAGTGCACGGCTTCTGTGCCCACCCAGGCATGCCAGGTGTGAGGAAAGTGTGCGTCGGGGGGCCCCTTGGTACCACCCGTTCCGTGGCTGAGAGCCACCTCCCGGAGGAACGAAGAAACAGGACCCACGACTGGTGGGCCTTGGGCGCTGGATTCAGAAGCGAATAGCAAGCGTATAGGACATCCGAGGGGGGTCGGGGCACAGGACTGCACTAGGTGTGATTGATCTTTCACAGAGGTGGAGCGTTTCGACTCAGGCCGTCCTTTGTGGGGGATTTACTCAAGGAGACGTTCTGTCTGAAACTATATTGAGAAATTCGCTCAGGGGAGACGGGCATCTATATTGCTTTCTTTCCCTTGCTGCTAGTACATATTAAACAGTCTTATTAAGTTTACTTCTTGTTAATATTTTCAGTTATTTGGATAAGCACAGTAAGAAATATAGATTCCAAAACTTAAGTTCTCTGGGTTCCAGAGGGATGTTTTTTGGTCTTTTTTTTTTTTAAGTGTGTGGGGGGTAAGAGTGGGGGGGGCGGGGCTGGGTGTTTACCGTAAATCCCAGACTAAGTCCTCAAGCCCGTTTAGCTTTTCCTACCCCACGAGGGTCCTTAGGTCATTACGGCTTATATCACGCCTGTGCATTAATGATTTTTAGGCTGTCCCATATCAAAGCCAGGGTAGCTTTACTGCTTTGCCCGGGTCCATCCAGAGATCCCTCAGTGGGACTTAGCTTTTGAGGGTGTTAGGAACCACAGTGACTGAGGGCTGAGTCGAGTAATTATAATGAATGCCCAGGAGTGAGTATATTTCAAAGTCAATTAACTCCCACATATCAGGAGCCTGGCATTAACGATCTTTCTGTGTTTAAGCAAAGAACATTGTGCTACAGTAAAATATAAAAAGGTTATAGGGGAAAGAAGTAAGCAAATAATTCACTACAGATCAAAGTCCAGAGTCACGAGAAGGTTTGACTTTATAAGTAACCAAGCCTGACTTGGGGAATTGAGTTGCTAACAGAGGGAGAGATTAAGCACAAAGGAAAGATCAGAGGTAAACTCGGGGGATGAGGGGTGCTCATGAGAGCACTGTCAGCTTCTGGGGAAGAGGAAGAAAAGGAAAAATTCACTGATGAAGCCTAAAACACTTGGGGTTATGGGGGCTGGAGCAATAGCACAGTGGGTAGGGTGTTTGCCTTGCACGCGGCCGACCCAGGTTCGATACCCGGCATCCCATATGGTCCCCTGAGCACCACCAGGAGTAATTCCTGAGTGCAGAGACAAAAGGAACCCCTGCGCATCACTGGGTGTGACCCAAAAAGAAAAAATAAAATAAAATACTTGGGGTTAATATCCAACAGAAACTGGGGGTAATTGGGGGTAAAAGAGGGGCGCATCTTAGCCCATGGCCCCCTGGGTGAAACGGCCCTGACTAGGGCTCACACGTAAAGCCACACCCGACTGACCAGTCCACCCCCTTTTCTCCCCACCTTCTTCGCAGGACTGCGACCAAATCCACGTCGATGACGTTTCGTCCGATGACAACGGCCAGGATTTAAGGTAGGAATGGAGGGGAGGGGCCAGAAATGCCCCTCTTGGCTGGGGATCAGGTTCGGCTTCTGCTCAGCTTGGGGGGTTCTGCGTGTTCAGTGCTGGGGGGGGGGGCTTGTATTTCTCAGCATCCAAAGACCCGGTGACTCAGTGGCAAAACACGTGCTTCCCTGTGTGTGCCCTGAGTTCAACGCCCCGCACCTCCCCCCCAATTCCACTGTCTACTGTGGGCTGCCCCTGACAAAAGGAACACGGGCTGTGGGGAGGGCACTTGCCTTGCACACAGCCTATCTGGGTTTAATCCCCGGCACCATGTTCAGTCCCCCAAGCCCGCCAGGAGTGATCCTTGAGCACAGAGCCCCGAGTAAGCCCCGAGCACAGTCAGGTATGGCCCAGAACACACCCAAGCAATGAAGCATAGGAACTGGAGCCATAGCACAGCGGGTAGGGCGTTTGCCTTGCACGCGGCCGACCCAGGTTCTATTCCCAGCATCCCATAGGATCCCCTGAGCACCGCCAGGAGTAATTCCTGAGTGCAGAGCCAGGAGTAAACCCTGTGTGTCGCCGAGTGTGATCCAAAAAGGGGGGAAAAAAAGGAAATGAAGTACTGTAGGGCGATTCCTCTGGAAAGTGCGGGCGAGGTTCCAAGAGCTGACCACTGCAGGTGGCCGCAGACCTTGAATGGCAGATTTAGGGATCAAGGCTCTGGAAAGAACCCTCCCTCCCCCTGCCCTACCCAGAGGAAGCAGATCCAGCCAAACTCTTCCAGCCCCTGATTCTAAAGACAGAACGAAGCTGGCCACTGTGTTTGGGGACTCATCCCGCCATCAGAAGACCCCGAATACTTGATGTGATACTAGCAGGATGGGAAATGGGAGTTGATTCAGTAATGGGAGACTAATTTGTGTTTTCGGGTTTGTGGTCACCCCTGGCAGTGCTGGGGGGCTACTCTGGGCTGAGTGCACAGAGGTCACTCCTGTAGTGTTGGGGATCGAGCCCAGGCCTCCTGCGTGCAGAGCCTACACATCTCTCCCGCCCAGGAAGTTTCCATTGATCTACGGCTGCTAGGGCGTCCCCCCCTCTTGGCACTGCCTCGCTCTGCGGCCTCCTTTGCGCCCTGTCGCGTTCCCTCTGTACTCAGGACCCAACAGCCATTTCTCGCCATCTCTTCTCTTCGTCCACTCATCACTTTTTTTTTCCTTCTATGGCACACATGGGTGAAATCATCCACAACTTGTCTTTCTCCTTGTGACCCATTGTGATCTACGAGACCCCTGCAGTTCCTTCCGTGTGCTCTATGAGACCCCTGCAGTTCCTTCCGTGATCGCCGCCAGCAGCCACAGTTCATGGAAAAGTCCTTAAGGGCTGAATCCCATTCCATGGCATGCATGGGCAGCCCTCCCTCCCTGATGGCTCCTCTAGCCACTGACAACACTTCCTGACCCTCGCTCCTTGGGCCAGCGAGGGTCAGCAAGTGTTGGGGTAACTTCTCCCTCTTCGTGCCCACGGTCCATGTTCTTTCTGGTTTTTGTTTGTTAGGTCACACCCGGCGATGCTCAGGGGTTACTTCTGGCTCATGCACTCAGGAACTAACTCCTGGCAGAGCTCGAGGGACCCTATGGGGTGTAGGGAGGGAACCCGGGTCGACCGCATGCAAGGCAAATGCCCTCCCCACTGTGCTGTCGCTCCAGCCCCGCGGTGCGTGTTCTTCACAGACACCCAGGCGTGGGGTCCTGGGTGCCAAGGGGGTCAGTCTTGATAAGGATGCTGCGGAGACGCGTCAGCTCACCTTCACGTGGAAGCTCAGAAAAGGGCGGCTCGGTGCCCCCCCACACACACCCTGCGTGCACGGACACGGGAGCCCCACGTTCAGGGCATTGGCGGCTGCCCTCAGCTCTGGAGACACGCTCTATCTCCTCACACTGACGCTCTCCCCCCCGTCTCTCTCCCCAGCACCTACAACTTCTCTGCTGACGGCTTCCACAGCTCGGCTCCAGGAGCAAGTCTGTGCCTGGGGTCCGGGGTCCACGGCGGCGTGGACTGGATGAGGAAGTTGGCCTTTCGCTACCGGCGTGTGAAGGAGATGTACAACACGTACAAGAACAATGTGGGCAGTGAGTGGGCCGGGCCGCACCCCCCGAGGAAGGGAGCTCCACTAGAATGGTTCACCCCACGGTGCCAGGCGTGCTTCTAGAGGCTGGGCACCCCCAGCTCACCCCGCGCCCCTCCTGACGCCCTCTGGAAGCACCGTGCCCCAGCTTCCATGGCCCACATGTGGGCATGGGACTTGGGTTACCCCCACACACACACACAAGTCGTCATCACCCATGGGTGGCTATAAAAGTGGGCACCCTGGCCCACCAGGGTCGCTGCCCCAGAGACTGGTCAGACATGCAGGTTTTGTGCGCCCATAAAACCCCTGAGAGCGGGCCAGAGTGATAGCACAGCGGGTAGGGTGTTTGCCTTGCAGCGACCGGCCTGAGTTCAATCCCCGGCATCCCGTATGGTCCCCCAAGCACCGCCAGGAGTACTTCCTGAGCGCCTGAGCCAGGATTAACCCCTGTGCATCTTTGGGTGTGACCCAAAAAGAAAAAAAAAATCCTGGGAGCAATAACTAGTTCAGCGGGTAAGGTGCTCACCTTACATATGACCAAGCGGGCTCAATCCCCAGCATCCCTTACGGTCCCCCAAGCACTGCCAGGAGTTATTCCTGAGTGCAAGGATAGGAATAATCCCTGGGCATTGCTGGGTGTTGCCCCAAAATCTAAACATAATAATAATATTAATAATAATTTTAAAACCCTGGGTCTGGGGCTGGAGTGATATAGAGTGAGTAGGGCGTTTGCCTTGCATGCGGCCAACCTGGGTTTGATCCCCGGTATCTCATACTTACCCCGAGCACTGCCAGGAGTGATTCCTGAGTGCAGAGCCTGGAGTAACCCTTGAGCATTGCTGGGTGTGGCTCCCCCCACAAAAAAAAAAAAAAGGGCGGAGTCAGGGTTGGAGCAATAGTACAGTGGGTAGGATCTCCGGTATCCCATAGGGTCCCCCCAGCACAGCCAGGAGTAATTCCTGATTGCAGAGCCAGAAGTAACCCCTGAGCATCACTGAGTGTGACCAAAAAAAAGGCGGGGGGGGGGGGGTGGGGATGGGCTGCATCAGCTAACAATGCCTGTCTCTACCTCCTGGGGGCGCTCTGGAGCCAAGCAGGACTCAGGTATAGTTACTGCATCAGGAACCAGCAGCAGTGTCATCAGCCACGTTCTCACTGGCAAGGTCCGCAGGCAGCCCTGAGCCGGCACAGTTCACAGGGAGAGCTCTGGGCCCGTATCCTTCAGATACAAAACAGAAAAGAAGGAGCAGCTAGAAGTACCGCCCACCCCTGGCTTCTGCCTCTCACGCAAGGGCTTCTGAGAGCCTCATGGTCCAAAGTGGCTGCATAAGCTTCAGCCATCACAGTCCGACCCACAAAGGAATGAGGAAGCAAATAAGTGCAGGTGTCTTTCCTTACGGACCATTCCTGGAAATCACATCCAGCACGTCCACTTGGTCACGTGACCGGCCCCCACGGGTGCAGGCCACAGGCTGGGAGCCTTTGAGCTGGGCCTCCAGGCACTCAGCTACACCTCAGGGGCCTTCTCCTATAGGAGAAAATTATTCTGCTCATATTTCTATTACTACCAATAACAATACAGAAGTGACGGGGCAGCTAGGAGGGCCACCAGGACCGGCAAAACCAAGATGCCCCAGGGATTAAGTTGGTTGAGGCTTCTCTGCCTCTTGGTGGTGGCCCGACCGGGAAAGACCAGAAAGGGAGCTGAGGAGAGACAGCAGCGTGGGGTGTCTGTAGAGAAACTGGCCGGTGACGGCTTCCGCTTCAACAGTGTCCCCCTGACCCCTCCCGAGCCAGCCCAGGAAGTTGTCATTGTCAGAGATATGTCACTGAGGGGCCGGAGCGATAGCACAGCGGGTACGGCGTTTGCCTTGCATGCGGCCGACCCGGGTTTGATCTCCGGCATCCCATAGGGTCCCCCCGAGCACCACCAGGAGTAATTCCTGAGTTCAGAGCCAGGAGTGACCCCTGAGCATCACTGGGTTTGACCCAATAAAGGCAAAAAAAAAAAAGAGATATGTCACTGAGACACTTCATTCTCTGTTCAAGGGACTCCCCCAAGCAGTGCTCAGGAAGTCAGAGGGACACTCAGTGGATGGTTCCATGCTTGAGCCCAGCCATGCCCCGGGGCTATGGGATGCAGGAAGCAAACCCGGGTCCTGTGCATGCAGGACACGTGCCCCTGCCCTTTAAGGCGTGGATCTCCCCAACCCCTGAGCAGGGTTTAAATCCCAACTGCAAGCAAAACTCTTCAGCAGAGTAGCCAGCCTGGACCTGGGAAAGGGGGGACACTGAGGTGAATAGGAAGGACTTGGCGGGGCAGGAAGATGACAGGCAAGAAGAGAAGTCGGCTGGTGGCACGGGCGCGCCAGGGCTGCGGCAGCACAGAGCTCGGTGGTGGAGACGGGACCGTCGCGGGGCTCAGGGGGAAGGGACACCGGGCAGGATCAGGGGACAGGACTGGGCTGGACGCAGGAGCAGGACCCTGGGCTGCATGTCTGAGCTTTGTCCCAAGGGTGCCGGCAACTGATTGCTGGAGATGTGGTGAGCAGGAAGGCACTTGCCTCCCTGATACCAATATGATCCCCCGAGCACCACTCGGAGGAGTAACCCCTAAGCACTGCCAGTTATGACCCAAAGGCAAAAAAAAAAAAAAAAAAGGTTGGGGCTGGGGGAGCTGAGATAATGACAGGAAGGATTTTTTTTTTTTCAGTTCGGGGGCCTCACCCGGCCTGGCTCTGTGCTCAGGAATCACTCCTGGCTCTGTGCTCAGGGATCACTCCTGGCTCTGTGCGCAGGGAATATTTAGGATGCTGGGAATTGAACCCCGGTCTTCTGCCTGCAAAGCAAGCATCCTACCCGCCTTGCTATTGCTCTGGCCCCATGAAAGGCAGGTTTTTAAAATGACTCTGGAGGTCAGCCGCCTGGGTAGATGGACGGATGGACAGGCAGGCAGATGGATCCGTTGATCGGTATCTGGGTAGGGGGTTGGAGGAGGGGAGGGTGCCTTGGTCGATCAATGGATACATTGGTCCATGAGTCAATCCCAAAGCTAGACTCACGTCACCAGGCTGAGGTTGGCCAGTGGTGGCAGCAAGGTGACCACATCAGTGTCATCGGCTTGAAGCCTCAAGCGGCAGTTCTTAGACTCTGCTGCTCCCCAGACCCCCAGTGACCGGATATCTGCCCCCTTGTCCCCAGGCTTGATAGGGGCGCCCAAGAGAGAGACCTGGCTGCAACTCAGAGCCGAGCTGGAAGCGCTGACCGACCTCTGGCTGACGCACTCGCTGAAGGCCCTCAACCTCATCAACTCCCGGTAGGGGCAGCAGCCGCCATGGGGAGCACCCACGACCCAGGAGGGGAGCACTAGCCACTGGGGAGCACCTGAAGCCCAGAAAGGAAGCACCACAGCCCGGGAGGGGCAGCACCAGCTGCTGGGGAGCACCCAGTTCCCGGGAGGGGAGCACCCACAGCCCGGGAGGGGCAACATTGGCCACTGGGGAGCACCTGACGCCCAGGAGGGGAGCATTCACAGCCCGGGAGGGGCAACACCAACCACTGGGGAGCACCCACGGCCCGGGAGGGGCAGCACCAGCTGCTGGGGAGCACCCACTTCCCAGGAGGGGAGCACCCATAGCCTGGGAGGGGCAACATTGGCCACTGGGGAGCACCTGACGCCCAGGAGAGGAGCACCCACAGCCCGGGAGGGGCAGCACCAACCACTGGGGAGCACCTGACACCCAGGAGGGGAGCACCCACAGCCCAGGAGGACAGCACCAGCTGCTGGGGAGCACCCACTATGCCCACTGGGGACGGGAGATTGACCCCCACATTCCCACTTGCACATTTCCAGGCTGTCTGTCAAGCAGAAGTGTGCAAGACGCTGTGGACACTGTGGGTCCTGGACACCATGTGCTGTGAATAGTGGGCCATGGTCATTGCGTGCCATGGGCACTGTGTGTCATGAACACCATGGGCCATAGACACTCAGGGCAATGGACACTATGTAGCATGAACACCATGGACAGTGGACAGTCTGGGCTGTGGACCCTCTGTCATGGACACCATGGGCTGTGGACATTCTGGGTCATGGACACTGTGTGTCATGAACACCTAGGGCCATGGACACCGTACATCATGGATACTCTGGGTCATAGACACTGTGTACCATGAACAACAGAGGCTATGGACACAGTATATCGTGGAGTCCATGAGCCATGGACACTGAGGGTCATGGACACACGGGCCGTGGACCCTGTGGGTCATGGCTGAGCAGGTGGATTCAGAGAATTATCAGTGTCCTGCAGAATAAAGGCCTTTGCACAAGGACCAGCTGCCCTCCTCTTCTGCCCAGAGCATCCACAGTTGTGGCCCTGCCCGCGGCCATCTTATAGGAGCACCACAGATTACCTGGTGGGCACAGCATGAGGCCAGGAGGGGCCAGTCTCATTCATCACAGTTAATTACCTCCTGCTTTTAAATAAGATCATTGGGGCCAGTGACCAGATTACTCTCTCTCGCACCAGCACGAAAACTCTGTGACCCAACACACCAACAGTCACCAAGTGAGAGCCCTGAGGCCAGCCGCATTTTGTTTGTTACCTGTTTGTCACAACAAGTCAAAAAATTAACCCTTCACTCCCTCAATACTAGAACTGGCCTGTGCCCCGACTACTGGCCCTGGGCCACACCTCTCCCTGTTCTCCTCCATCCACTTGGGCCATATCACTTACTTACGCCTCCCACTACATACGTGTGTGGCCTGTGTGTTAACCGTTCGCTTTTGAGTGGAGCATCCCCCTCACTTTGTTCCACTGTGTCAAGCAGCTTCCGGCAGAAAAAGGAAGAACGGGGCACCAGAGAGATAGCACAACTGCCTTGCACGCAGCTGACCCAGGCTCGATCCTGGTGTCGATACTGGTCTCCCTGAGCACTGCCAGGAGAATTCCTGAGTAGAGAGCCGGGAGTAAGCCCTGAGCATCACCAGATGTGGCCCCAAAACAAACACATAAAAAAGGAAGATTAATAAGTGACTCCCTGGGCATACCCCTCACCCACAGGGGATTTCGCTGGCCCCTTCAGTCCCTGCAGGTTCAGACTCAGCTGTGGAGGGAGGAGGCCCGTTTGGGGGGACCCTGGAGCTCTAATCCTGTCTCCTTTGTCCTCAGACCCAACTGTGTCAATGTGCTGGTCACCACCACTCAGCTCATCCCTGCGCTGGCCAAGGTTCTGCTGTACGGACTGGGCTCTGTGTTCCCCATCGAGAACATTTACAGTGCAACCAAGACAGGTAGGAGAAAGTCAGAGGTTGGGGAGGAGGTGCAGGGTGGAAGAGGGGAGGGCGGGGGGATGAAGGAAGTTGTTGAGAGCAGGAGTCTGATTCCCCACGTGACCGGCCTGGGTTCCTGGGGATAATTGGCCCGAAGACTTTCCCGAAGTTTCCATGTTAGGGAAGCAGCAGGACGCCTGTCAGAAACACAGCCCAGACACAGGACTTCGAGGGGACCCAAAGCTTGTTCCACGTCACAGAACTGAGGGGAGCGATGCTCCAGACTGGTGGGCCAGCCTAGGAAACTGGACGTTTCTTTTTCCACCATTCTCTGTGGTTTTATGTGCACGTCTGTGGTCAAATCAGAATCCCGCCACATCATCCTTCCAGTTTACGGGACAAGGAATAAAGGAGAGCCTAATGCAGGTCCTATATGGCATGGTAACTTCTGTTCACTGCCTTTTGGCCCCAGCTTAGTCACGTGACCTCTGGTTGCAAGGGATGCTGGGAAATGTGGCCCATAGCTTGGTGACTGGGAACCCTAAAAATGTGACTAAGGGGCCGGAGAGATAGCACAGTGGTTAAGGCTCTTGCCTTTCACACAGATGACCCAAGTTTGATCGCCAACATCCGCGATGTCTCCTGAGCACCATCAGGAGTGGTTGCTGAGCACAGAACCTGGAGTAACCTCTGAGCATCGCTGGGTGGGGCCCAAAACAAAACAAAAAAAAAAAAAGGAAAGAAATTGTCTTACTGGGGCTGGAGCGATACCATAGCAGGGAGGGCGTTTGCCTTGCATGTGGCTGACCCAGGTTCGATTTCCAACATCCCATATGGTCCCCTGAGCACTGCCAGGAGTAATTCCTGAGTGCAGAGCCAGAAATAACCCCTGTGCATTGCTAAGTGTGACCCAAAAGAGCAAAAAAAAAAAATTGTCGGGGCTGGAGCAATAGCACAACGGGTAGAGCATTTGCCTTGCACGCAGTCAACATGGCTGACACAGGTTCAATTCCCAGCATCCCATATGGTCCCCCCAAGCACCGCCAGGAGTGATTCCTGAGTGCATGAGCCAGGAGTAACCCCTGAGCATCGCCGAGTGTGACCCAAAAAGCAAAAAAAAAAAAAAATTGTCTTACTAAAGGAAAAAAAAGGAAAATAGTTCCCATCACAGGAAAATAGTACCCATGGTACACTGGATGTTTTTAACTTCAGTAGCACTGTCCTCACACAAGCATGGATCTAACCTTGAACAACCAGAGAGAAAATTGAGGTGTTTTTTTTTTTCTTTAGAGAGAGTCAATTTTTTAAAAATTTTTATTAGTGAAACACCATAAGGTACAGTTGTAGATTTACAACTTTTTGTGCTTGGGTTTCAATTATACAATGATCAGATACCCATCCCTCCACCAGTGCCCATTTTCCACCACCATGGATCCCAGTATCCCTCCCACACCCATCCCCCCATCCCACTCTGCCTGTGTGGCAGGGAGAGAGAGTCGATTTAGAGCTAGTCTGCTTTACCTCTCTTTCACAGTTGTTCATCTTCCTTGTTTAACAAATAGAACAAGCCATACGCTCAGAACTGTCATCGGATAAGAAAATTTAATAACTAGGAATTAACAGCAGCATTTATCATCAGAGCAACTAATATTGGTTTTCTTGATGCAGGTGTTTTTCGGTCATTCTTTTATCAGTTAAAGTGTATAATGCTAAATAAATCTAGTTAGTTAAATTGTTTTTAAATTAGATCTTTTTACTGCGTGTGTGTGTGTGTGTGTCTGTGTGTGTGTGTGTGTGTGTGTGTGTATAATTTCTGGAGCAGAAAAACAAAAAAACACTTTGGAAACATTTTCCTTAGAGGAATTTTTGCCTCTGTAAGAACTCTAGGTGAGAACAGGGTATGAAAGTGTCTTTGGGTTATAAAACCAGAAATTCAAGGCACGGGGTCCAGAGTGACAGTATATCTGTTTAGGACACTTGCCTTGCATGCAGCTGACCTGGTTTTGGTCCCAGGCATCCCGTATGGACCCCCAAGCACCGCCAGGGGTGATTCCTGAGCACAGAGCCAGGACTAACCTCTGAGCATCGCTGAATGTGACCCAAACCAAATTCAAGCCACAAATGGCCAGTGGAGAGTCTCCAACACACTTTTCTCTATTTGTTTCTTGAACCTTATGAGCCTTACACTGCTGTGGAATCCTGGCTTGAGTCTTTATTTTGAATTGTAAGTAGCAATGTTTAAAGTCAAATAGTTGTAGTGAGAGAAATCTGGAGAGGAAGGAGGTGTTCTAGAGGGTAGAGACCTACAGGGGTCCCCAGTTCCATGCCCCCAGAACCTCACCCAGCACCCGGTCTTTCCTTCCCACTGTGTGCAGGCAAGGAGAGCTGCTTTGAGAGGATAATGCAGCGGTTTGGCCGGAAAGCCGTCTACATCGTGATCGGGGATGGGGTCGAGGAGGAGCAGGGAGCGAAAAAGGTAACTACTGGCCAGGACCTACCCAGGTTCCATCCTGGGTATTCCATATGGTCCCCCGAGCACCACCAGGCGGAATTCACTGAGTGCAGAGCCCAGGAGTAACCACTGAGCGCTGCTGGGTGTGGCCCCAAAAACAAACGGGGGGAGGGGGGCTGGGAAGGTAATTGCACCCAGCACCCCAGGTAGCCAGGGAGCCTCTTGCTTCTGGGGGCGCCTCACACCAGCTCTCTCCGGCCCCCTTGGCTGGCTGGTCCCCGGGGCCATCTGCCCTGCATCTGCACAGGGCAGAGAGCCGCATCCAGAGTCATTTCCGCTGCCAGGTACACGCGTTTCATTGAACACGCACCCGTCCTCGGTTCCAGGAGCCCGACCCTACCATAAAGACAGCTAAGACCTGTGGGAACACTGAGAGCGGCAGGGGGTGCGCGTCTGTTCATGGAACTGGGGCCACTGCCCCAGGACCCCGCTTCACTGGGGGCACCTGGTCTCTGCATCCCTCCCAAGCAGCAGATGATAGGGAAAGGCAAACACCGGCAGGCCTGAGCAGCTGAAGGCCCCATCAGACCCCGCCCCTTGGGTGGGAAGCCCCGCCCCTTTGCCCGGGATCCCCGCCCCTTTGGTCAGAAGCCCCGCCCTTGTCCTGGGTTCTGGGGATCTTTGCGGGGCTCAGGGCTTCCAGAGGGAGTAGCTCTCTTTCTGACCCTTGGGTCTTCAAGGCCGTCCCCTCTTGTCGTAGGGGATTGCCCTGTGACAGCCCCAGGCCTGCCATCCAGGCCAGTCAGTGGACAGCGTACTCAGCTCCCAGCCTGGACACAGGGACCTGCTAGTTTCCGTGTGTGTTGAGTGGAGGCTGTGGGGGTAGTGGTCGGCAAGGGGGGGTCATGCTACTAAGGCCCTTTGCCGCTGTGCCTGAGAGCTAGGTTCTGGGCAGCACGAGTGTTCGTGGGGCCAGAGCCATGGCACAGCAAAGGGAGGGCACTTGCCTTGCATGCAGTTGACCTGGGTTCAATCTCCGGCATCCCTTAGGGCTCCCTGAGCCCCACCTGGAGTGATTCCTGAGTGCAGGGCGGGAATGACCCTGAGCATCGCCAGGTGTGGCCCCCAAACCAACATTAGTGTTTTGTTTCGAACAGCTGCCTCTGCACTGTTATATTGTAGCCACATTCTTCCTCTGCCGTGAGCTGTGGATCCTTCCCGCCAGCTTGCATCTAAAATGCAAACTTGGGGCTGGAGCGATAGCACAGCGGGGAGGGCGTTTGCCTTGCACGCGCCCAACCCAGGTTCAATTCCCAGCATCCCATATGGTCGCCCAAGCACCGCCAGGAATGATACCTGAGTGCAGAGCCAGGAGTAACCCCTGTGCATCGCCGGGTGTGACCCAAAAAAGCAAAAAAAAAAAAAAAGAAGCAAACTTAAGGGGCCAGAGCAGTAGTACAGCAGGAGGTGAGGGTGAGGCATTTGCCTTGCATATGGCCAGCCCAGGTTTGATCCCCGACATCCCATATGGTCCCCGGAGCACCACCAGGAATGATTTCTGAGTGCAGAGCCAGGAGTAACCCCTGAGCCTCTCTGGGTGTGACTACGACCCCCCCAAAAAAAAACCCAATACGGAGACAGGGGTCAGCAACCTTGCTCATGCTGAGGAAATACTGCAGGGCACTGACCACCCTCCTGAGACTGACCCTCACCAAGTGTCCACGTCCTTCGTTCCAGCACAACATGCCTTTCTGGCGAATATCCTGCCACGCCGACCTGGAGGCGCTGAGACACGCCCTGGAGCTGGAATATTTATAGCAGCCCCCCTAACGCCTACCCTCCTGCGTCCCCTCACTCGCCGGATGCTGGACGCCGGGCACGGCCTCCGCGGGGCAGAGGATGCTTCTAGTGGCCGCCTGGGTGCCAACAAAATCCGAGCGCCCGGCAGTGGCTCTGGACTGCTGAATGCCAGGGTCAGGGATGGGCCTGGAGCGTGGACGTCTCTGGAAGGCTCAGAGGAAGCAGGGTGCCGTGGAGGTGCCAGGCTGGAGCGAGGGGGTCCGGGCAGGGTTCTTTTCCTTTCTAATTTATGGACGATCTCATCCCTCTGGTGTTCTGCTCCCGTTCCTGTGTCGTGGGTTTTCTCAGTCCTGGGTTGGTTCGGGGGTTTCTGGGGCACGTGGGCGGTGCGCGGGTCTAGGTGGGGCCTCTCTGCTCGGGCTGTGTTCTGGGACAATCATTCTCTGTGGGCAGGGCGGCGTGGTGGGGCTGTCGGGAGGCTCTTGCTGATTTTGTGTTTTCACAGACCTGACAGCGTGTGTGGACAGTCTCGTGCCTTAAGCTGCCATCTTGTTTTCTAGGAAGAGGGGGGCCTTGGGAGGAGGTGGTACTTTGTGACGGATCAAAGGCATTAAATAAAACCAGGTTTACATTTGGAAGGGGGAAGGTGTTAACGGTGTTATTTCTGCTCTCTAACAAATCCAAATGAAATGGGTTCACATCACACACACACACACACACACACACACACATTTTTTTTTTCCTTTTTGGGTCACACCCGGCGATGCTCAGGAGTTACTCCTGGCTCTGCACTCAGGAATTAATCCTGACGGTGCTCAAGGGACCCTATGGGATGCTGAGAATCGAACCCGGGTCAGTCGTGTGCAAGGCATACGCCCTACCCATTGTGCTATCACTCCAGCCTCCCAAACACACTTTTTTTAATGTTGCAGGAAAATAAAATATAACTCAGTCTCGAGGCTGGAGAGATAGCACAGCGGGTAGGGCGTTTGCCTTGCGCACGGCCAACCCGGGTTCGATTCCCAGCATCCCATAGGGTCCCCTGAGCACCGCCAGGAGTGACTTCTGAGTGCAGAGCCAGGAGGAACCCCGGAGCATCGCCGGGTGTGACCCAAAAAGAAAAAAAAAAACTTAGTCTGGCTTAAGAAAATTTTTTAAAAAGGTGTCTCCAGGAATATTTCGTGAGAGTTCTCTTCAGGTGGAGCTCCAGGTGACCAAACAGCTGCGTCCTGTGCGTCTCCTTCAGAAGGCTCTTCCCCGTGTGTCAAGCACAACTCTAAGAACCTTGCGGCAAAAGGAGACAGAAACCCCAGGCTCATTTGACTCGATGAAACCTGAGTCATTTGCTTACGGAGCTGGTTTTAGCAGTAAACCCCCATGAAAAAGAAAATTCGGAAGAACTGATCCCCGTAGGAGTGGGGACGGAGCTAGGAAATCCAATCCAGCTGTCGCCCAGAGTCAGGAATGAAAGGGAGGGGCTGGAGTGACAGCACAGCAGGGAGGGCATTTGCCTTGCATGCGGCCGACCCGGGTTCGATTCCCAGCATCCAGTAGGGTCCCCCGAGCACTGCCAGGAGTAATTCCTGAGTGCAGAGCCAGGAGGAACCCTGAGCATCGCCAGGCGTGACCCCAAAAAAGTAAAAACAAACAGAAACCTGGAATGTCATGAGGCCCGTGGGAGAAGCCGGGAGACCCGTCCCCCGTCTCTGCGAGGCACGTGGGGCGGGAGCCCCCGGGTTATTGACTCAGCCTCACTGTGCTCCAGTCCCGTCGGTGAAACCCAGGGTCTCCCAGTATCTGTGGGGGTGCACGGGCCTCAGTGAGAGCTGGAGAGTCTGTCGCAGAGAAAGTTTCATCACCGCGGAGGGAACGGCGCCTGGGGTAGGTCGTTGCTTTCATCTGTCTCCCAGCTTCAGTCACATGCTCAGGGCCTTACGCCCCCCCCCCCCCCCCAGCAAGGGGCTGCTCGCAGACTGCACCCCTGTCCTCGATGACCAGGGAGAGGACGTGCTAGAATCGGGATCCCAGTCAGAGAGACTGCAGGGACACAGGAGGCAGACGGGACTGGGCCGAGCCCCAGGCCACCCTCCCCCTCCTCCTGTCCGCTAACCCCCGTCCTAGCCCCCATCCTCCCTCGGACCCCTCTCGTCCCCCTGCCTGCCCGTGAGTCCTCCCGTTCTACCCACCCCCCCACCCACTGTCTTTCTGCCCACTCTCCCGCAGCCCTCCTTCAACCCCTACCCCCCTTTCCCTCGGACCCCCATCCCCTCCTCCTGCCTCCTGGCCTGCCCTCCACCCTGCCCAGCAGGAACAGGTCCCAGCTTCTCGGGTCACGGCCTCAATTCCCGCCCGAGTAGCCAGTGGCTGGTGGGGAGGGGGTCGCAGCGGCAGCCAGCAACAGAGACCAACCAGCAGCGGTCTGAGACCTTTGCACCCTCACTGGGTGCAGACCCAGGCCGGCGGCCGGAGAGACCCTGACCTCTAGCACCCATATAGCTCGGCTGGCTGAGCCCCCCCAAGGGAGCTGGGCAGGGGGTGACAGGGACCCTCTGGATGTGACTGTCACCTCGGAGATAATCCCTGAGCTAGATCGCCTGGCAGCTAAATTCTGCCAGGCTGGGAAGTCACAGGCAGTGGGGAGGACAAAGGTCAGGGGTCAGAGGGCAGGTTGGTCCCTTTGGAGTTGGAGCCTGGTGTGGCCTAGGCTGTGCTCCCTGCAGCCAGCAGGGGGCGCTGCGAACCATCAGGCAGGAGCTGGAGCGGCACAGAAACCCACACACTGGTCAGGAGACCCCAGCTTTGCGGGTGGCCACAAGGCAGTTACACCCTTGGCCAGGTGCTCACCTCAGGGTTCGAGAAAGGTCTGGCAATGCCCAGAGGCCAGCAGACACGACAGTGACCTCTGAGGTCAGACGCCAAGGGCAGTAGTCAGGTGGCCTCACCGGCTCCAACTCTGATTCTTATTTTGGAGGGGAGGCCTCACCTGTGCTTGGGGCTGACTCCTGGCTCTGTGCTCAGAGGACCAGATGGGGTGCCAGGGATCAGACACGTTAAGGCAAGCAACTTACCCTCCAGCCCCTCGCTGGTTCCAAATGTCAAGGGGTTCGGCTGTGGTTTCCAGAGTGAACCAGGGATGGTGAACAGATGACACTGTTTGCAAATGCTGGGCTTTATTTTCATATGGTGGTGATAAGCTCCAATCAAATCCGATTTAAAAATCCGAGTATCAACTTGAGGCCCAATGAGTTTGGGTTCTGCTCTAGAGAAGGGGGCAGAAGTGTCTCTCTGTCCTTCCAGTCCCCTGTCCCCAGGCCCTGGGGTCCTACCGGCCACCTGGTGTGGTGGAATCTGGCCAAGCCCTCTTCCGACGTGAGTGTATTGTCACCGCGTCCCAGCACTGAGCTGAGGCCCCCCAGCCACGGTCATCAGCCCACTGGACCCCCAGACGCACCCCGGCCCATCCTGCAGAGGGGAGCGAGGCTTTTCCTGACCCAGCAGCGCAAAGATGGTGGGAAACGCGCCTCACTGAACCTCCGTTTTCCCCGCCGCGAAGGTGGTGACGAGAGCCCCTCAGAGACGGCAGCTCTGGTGTGGTCCCCGGACCCCCTGGGTACTGTCTGAGAATCCCTCCCCCACACCCGCCCAACAAAGTGCGTGAACCCTGTATAGGTTTCTGCTCCAAGGCCCCGCCCACCAGAGCCCCCGGCTCCCCTCTACAACCACCAGAGCTGCGACCTGTGCTTCCGAGAGGCAGGTGATGGGCACAGCTGCCCCTGCAGCGGGCACCCAGTGAGGGCTTTGTCCACCTTCTCCCCAAACTCCCAGGCCGCCGTGGGCTGCAGACCCACCGGAGGCCACTAGGTGGCGAGCGTGAACCGCCAGTCAGCCCAAACACCCCTGCAGGGCCGCGGGGGGGAGGGGGTCCAAGAGGCCAGCCAGGACACTACAAACACACACACACACACACACACACACACACACACACACACACACGCACGCACGCACGCACACGTACGCACACACGACCGCGCGCGCGCACACACACACGCACTCACACACGCCAGACATCCCATCTCAACTGAGTCATGAACACCCGAAAACACGAGCCAGCTCAGGGTCGAGGCAGCTCTGCGGTGCGGCCACTGCCAACAACCCCTCTGACGGTCAAGAGGCCCAGCAAGGGCAGCCCCGATGAGCCGGTCACTCTCAAAGTCCCTGCAGGCCGCCTGCTTAGTGGGGCCTGGGCGGCAGCAGAGGCCGACCCCGCAGAGGGGACGGGCAGGACATCAGGTGAGCCCCGCTGCCAGGGAGCATCTTCCCACTTTTGGAGCCGGGTCACCTGCATGCAGCAGCACGGTGGGTTCCATTCCAGCCCCGGGTTCCAGGTGGCAGCCCCTGCTGTGGTCCAGCAACAACCCAGCAGCCATTTCCCGGCCCTGGGCAGTGGCGTCCTCCTGGGCGTCTTTTCTTCCCGGGCAGGCTGGCCATGGGGTGACGAGGTCCTGCAGGGGGCCAGAGGCTTGTGTCCTTGGCAAGACTTAGGAGCTGGGCCACTCGGTGACCGTGGTCGCCTTCCCCATCACTGGTCTTGACAATCTTGACAACCCATGCCCACAGCCGAGGGACACACAGCGCGGCCAGCCGTGAACATCCTCCACGCTGTTCCATGAGTGAGGATGACCAGAGGGCGGGAACAGGGGGATTCTGGGAAGAGAAGGAGCCCCCAGGAGTTGTGAGGCTCCCGGGCCACGATCTTCTGGTCCCCCCATGGTGACTCAGATGTGAGGGAAAGTGCTGACACGCCAGTCACAAGCCCAAACACCACAAAGTGCGGGCGTCCTCGCTCCCCGTGGCCTGGAGCCGGCCGTCCCGGGACCAGTGCCTAGCGGCCAGAGGGGTGCCAATGCATCTCTCTCTGGCTTAGCTTGTCCCCATGCTCAGCCTGGAGTCTCTGTCTGCACCTGCCGGGCGCCCCGGCTGAGACGCTCACAACCCCACCGTTCTTCACTGGGCCTCTGTGGCATGTGGCATGTCCCCAGGCCAGGAGAGGTCTGCACCACCTGGCCAAGTTCTGACCACACCCCATTGGGTTCCTCCCCCTGCACTGCCATCAAGCAGCCTGCAGGGGGCCTCCCAGCCCACTCCTGCTGGGTGGCCGCACTGGAAGGACGAACAGGCAGCCTGCAAGGGGGTCAGGCCTCAGCCCACTGTGTCTGAACAGGCCCACCTTTCCTCCTGCCCCTCGGGGGACACCCAGCCAGGCCCTCAGCTGCCCATGGCCTCTCCCGGCCCTTCTCATGCGACCAGACAGGGAAGATGCTCAGCCACTGTCCCACAACCGTCTTGTTTCAAAAAAAAAAAAAAAAAGATGAAATCTGAAAAGGCTGGGGCAGGGCACAGGGGGGACCCCGAAAAAGAGAGTATCCCTAAGTGACCCCTGGCTCAGTCACAAAGAAACACCAGCATCCAAAAAGATATTTTAAGTTTAATACAAATTTTATACAAAGAAAATGTGAAAAAATACTTCCATATGCTAAAAGCAATTATGCTCACGAGTAAGGCCAGCTAGGCTATTTCCCCCCCCACAACTGCAATGCACGAATATCCTTTCTCTCTGGTCTGCTAATACTTGGTGTGGTTCTCTAAACACGGGCCGCTAGCTGGGAGCTGCACGGTTCGCATCCTCTCATCCACAACGAAGAGAAAGTAAACGAGACTAAAAAAAAAAAGAAAAATGTACAACCGAATGTACTGGAATGATATCGTACAATTAATTTGCGCATATACATACAATCACCTCTGGCTTTGTTCGACGCTTATCATTTTACAGGGCGTGGAAAATGGAGCGACCCGCGGACGTAGTGTACAGGGCGGGGCGGGGCGGGCACCGTCCCCTCCAGGCTTCGTGTCATGCTTAGGGAACAAACTCAAATCCCAGCGGGTCACGTAGACGCACATGCTGCATCCGGGCTCGGGGACCCGGACGTGCTCTGCCCGAGTTCCTAGGTTGGCGAGGCGTGTGGGAGGCAGGGACGGGTCCGCGAGCAACTGGTCACTGTCTGCTTCTGCACGTCCACTGCCCGGCTCGGCTCGCTCTTCTGTAAACACGGACGGACACACCTCCTTGTCTTGTCCCCCTTTCGGCAGAGTCGGCCTCGCTGTTCCGAGGCTCACGAAACAAACTCGCCCCTCCCTGGCCCCTCGGTCCAGAGCACTTGAGTACTTGCTTTCCGTGAGACGATGAAGAAGGTTCTTGGAGGGGAGCCATGGCTTGAAGTGGGGTGGCGGGGGGGCGTGTCCACACGCTCGGGGTGGGGGACCCCACTCGGAGCGTCACCTGCTGCAGTGGCACGGGGGATCCACCCTGGGAGGGGCGGGCGCCGAGGATGCCCACGGGACAGACACGGGCAGGCGGGACCAACTGGTCTCCAACATCTAAACATTCCTTTTGTTGGTGTTTTTTTTTAAAAAAAAATTGTTTTTCTTTTTTTTTTTTATAAGTTAAAGTTGATACAAATATAAAAAGGGGGAGGAACTCTCGGGTCGTGGGCATCCATTGTACATCATTTACATCCGAAGCTGCGAGGGTTCCCTCCGCCCCCGGGGGGCCAAGGCGGGAGCGTGTGTGTAGTGTGGGCCGCCCTGGGCCGGGTGCGGGGACCAGGCTGAGTCTGAGGCAGGAGTGCTCCCGTGAGAGGGGGAGGCGTGCTCCTCCCGCCTCCCGCTTCTTCACTCTTTCCCGCTGTCCTGGGGCCGCCTCTGGGGCCACGCCGCCGTGGCCCTAGTCCCAGAAGGCGTCCAGCCGCGACTCTGAGGGCAGGAGGTTCTTGGAGCTGGGGGTGCTGCTCTGCTCGGTGCGGGGTGCCGGCCGCTTCTCCTCGCCGCCGCTCCAGCCGCTGGACTTGCTGCTCCGGGAGTGCTCTGTGGGGCGACCAGGCACGGGGTCAGCACCCCAGAGGCCGGGGAAGGTGCCCATCCCACACCCCGCACCAAATACGCCCTGGTTTGGGGTTGGCAGGGCACCTTAGTTGTACAGGAACAAAACCAGAAGGGCTGGGACTGGAGCGATAGCCCAGCGGGAAGGGCGTTTGCCTTGCATGTGGTCAACCTGGGTTCGATTCCCAGCATCCCATAGGGTCCAGGAGTAACTCCTGAGTGCATGAACCAGGAGTAGCCCCTGAGCATCGCCAGGTGTGACCCAAAAAGAAAAAAAAAAACCCAAAAACCGAAAGGGCAGGTGGGGGGGACCCTACAGGACAAGTGCTCGAGAGACACAAGTTGGGGGAGTCAGGGGGGACGCGGTCGAGGAACGAACCCCCTCCCCCAGGTGCCCCTCATGACCCAGAACCATGCATTCGCCTGGCACACAGCCAACCCAGATCCAACCCCCGGCCCCGCATATGGTTCCCCAAAGCCTGCCAGGAGTGACCCCCCCGTGGCCCCCAAACTAGACAGAACTGGGCTCTTTTCTCCCTACTTGGCCCCTCCATCCGCCCTTCACCTCTGACCCCCCACACCAACTCACCCGCACCCCCCTGCAGCTCCGTGGCTCCGCTCCCCAGTCTGAACTCTGACCCCAAGCCCCTTTAGGTCCAGTCCAAGGCTGGATTTCTCCACTGACATCCCAAGCTCAGCCTGCGGTCACAGATGACCTCTGCCCTCACCCCCGTCACGTCCCCCAGCGCTACACGCACGGCCAGGGCCAGGCCCACCTCCCTCACAGCCGAGATCTGGACTTAGGTACTCACTGCACCCCCCCCCATTCACCAGCCTGGGGTCCCGACCCAATAGGGCATCACTCACCCGAGGCTGAGGCCCCCCCACCGCCTGGCCATACGCAAGCACGCCAGCTCAGACCCTTCAGGCCACTCTCCCAACGCCTCCACCCATTTCTGCTTTGTCTGGGGGCTGCACTCAGGGACCCACGGGTGCCAGGAGCTAGTCACACTGGGGCTCCCCTGCGCTGTTGCCTTTGCAATTCCGGCCCAACCACAGCCCCCCGCGAGGTGGCCTAACTGACTGTCTCGAGGATAAACTCGAAATCACACACTCCTAACACACTTTCTCCGATCCCCACCGAGAGGAAAAGCAAGACTGTCCGCGTGGGAGGCGACTCAGAGGGAAGGCGATGAGCCCAGAGCAAGAATCGCGGTGGGTTCCTCGATGCCCAAGAGTGAAGAAGACTGGGGCTGGAGTGATAGCACCGCAGGGAGGGCGTTTGCCTTGCACGCAGCCAACCTGGGTTCGATTCCCAGCATCCCATAGGGTCCCCCGAGCATCGCCAGGAGTAATTCCTGAGTGCATGAGTCAGGAATAACCCCCTGAGCATCGCCGGGTGTGACCCAAAATGGAAAAAAAAAAAAAGGAGCGAAAAAGACTGCAGAATCGAGAAAATATTAAAAATATTAAAGAGTGGCTAAAGCTCCATTCTCGGCTGGGCCTATTTGAGATTCCCTCCGGAGGGAAGGGGGAAATGGACCACTCCGACAGGGGGTGCCCCTGTATTTTGGGTCTGAGGTGAGTAAGGAGATCGGCCTCCCCACCCCCCTGAAGAGCCAAGCAGGTTACCCCGCCCCAAAGCGTCCTACAGAAAGATCCTCCTTTAACTCGCTGCTGAGGGCAGAAATCCCCATCTACAGTGTCAGGAAGTCAGGGAAATCCCACCTGCAGGGCGTCTGAATGCGGCCGTGCCCTCCGCAACCCCCCAGTAACCCACCCAGCGCACCCCCTGCCCCACCCCCAGTCTACCTAAAGACCCACTGGCTCCCCCTGCCTGCGTGGGCCGTGATGGCACCGCTCAGCCAGCAGGGGGCGACAACATACCGGAGCCTTGGCTGGAGCCTAAGAGAATGGAAGAGGGCATCTCCCGGGAACCAGAAAGGTCGAGGGTCTGGAACACAAAGAGGGGGGGAGGGTCTCAGGGCACAGGGGCCAGGGAGCCCCCGGGCTCAGGGCGCAGCACTGACTCAGGCAGGGGTGACCCTCAGGCCTGGGTTCTAATTCTCCCACTGAACACACAGGAGAACTGCACAAGGCCGACCCGACCGGATCCGACAGCTCTAGAACATTCCCCGCCTTGGCCGACTTCTGCGCTGCCTAGAGCCAAGAAAATAAGGCTGATGACTTCTAAACTGGATCGACTCAGGGGCCAGAGCGATAGCACAGCAGGTAGGGCGTTTGCCTGGCACGCGGCCAACCTGGGTTCAATCCTCAGCATCCCATAGGGTCCCCTGAGCACCGCCAGGAGTAATCCCTGAGCACTGCTGGGTGTGACCCAAAAAGCAAACAACCTGGACGGACTCGCTCTCATTTCACTTGGTTCTCGTGCCTCAGGCCCAGTGGGAGAGCCCAGACAGGTGGGGCAATGACATTTCTTCCCCCGCCCCCCGCCCCTCGGGCCATAGTGTCTCATGTAAGGTTAACCCCCTTCCCGCCCCCACATGCCCCGACACCAGCAGGAGCTTCGCACACTCCAACTTGGCTGTCACCGGTCCCCACCTGACTTTCTGCATTCAGATGAACTGAAAGGAAATAAAGTGACAAGCTCTGGTCTTTGGGGACACGTCAGGTGTGACTGGTGGCCACTGTCCGGGTCAGGGCAGACATAGACACCCTCCCGGCCTCTCAGAGAAGGGCCTAAAGGGGGGGGGCTGGAGTTACAGCACAAGCGGGTAGGGCATTTGCCTTGCACGTGGCTGACCCGGGTTCGATGCTCAGTACCCAATATGGTCTCCCCAAACACCTCCAGGAGTAATCCCTGAGTGCAGAGCCAGGAGGAACCCCTGAGCATTGCCGGGTGTGACCCAAAAACGCAAAAAAGAAAAAAAAAAAGACTCAAAGGGCGACCACGGGTCTGTCGGTCTGTCTGTCTGTCTGTCTGTCTGTCTATCTGTCTGTCTGTCTCTCTCTCTCTAATGTCAACCCCGCCCGTCCGCCCGTCCGATTCCTGCGCCCACATCCTGCGCCCACATCCGGGTGCCAGGAGCTGTGCTGAGACTCCCTGAGATTCCACGTCAGGACACCCAGGGCGATGGACAGGGTCCACCCCAACACTACCCGGCCCCAAAGAAGGGCGCGTATGTCTCAAAGGTCCGGGACACTCACCGCAGAACTCTCCTTGCTCTTCTCGGTGGGTGCCTCCTTCTCCTTCGTGTTGCTGGCGGGCTCGGGCGTGGGGGCCTGCGTGCTGGCTGTGCTGCCCTGGGCAGACTTGCCCACAGTTTCCGTGCTGGCCTCGGTGTCTGTCTCCTGCTGCGGGGCCGTGGCTGTGGGGGAGCAGGGAGAGGCACCGTGAGGTCAGGAGAGAGGGCGGCGGCTGGGCGCACCCCTGGAGAAGAGGCGGCTGCCCGTCCGTCCCATCCAGGACACCAACGCTATCGGGGGCCAGGAGCTGGACTTCCGGTGAGGGGCGAGAAAACGCCAAGGCCTGAGTCGGGCCCTGATGACTCCAACTGGACACACAGCCGCAGAGGTGGGCGGCCTTCTGGGGTGGCCATGGAGACTCATGGGAAATGAAACCTGGCAGAGGCCCAGTCCGGGGAAAGGCCCCCCACCGAGACACATTGCAAATGAAGACACCGGAGAGGAGCTCCGGAGGGGTGCACGCAGGACACGTCTGTCCAAAGGCAGGCTGGCGGCACCCCGGGGACGGGGAGACGGGTCCAAGCTGCAGCTCTAGGCTGGACGCTGGACGCACTGCAGGGTCTGCCTGGACACCGCCAGGAATAATCCCTGAGCACAGAGCCCTTGGGCACCACCAAGGGGGACCCCTGAATGGCCACATCAGCCTTCTTAAGGGAGAAGAACAGGGCGGGGGGCACGGCGGGAAGCCAGGAGATAGCAGAGGCTCCGCAGGACCAGACTGGAAACGTCTCCTACAGGGCCAAAGCGACCGGAGAGTGGGCAGAATGCTGGCCTTGCATGTGGCCAACCCGGGTTCGACCCCTGGCACCCCACAGGGTCCCCTGAGCCCAGCCAGTAGTGAACTCCTGAGCACATAAGTCCTGAGCATCACTGGGGGTGGCCCAAACACAAAACAAGGGACTAGAGCGATAGCAAAACGGGTAGGGCGTTTGCCTTGCACGCAGCTGACCCGGGTTCGATTCCCAGCATCCCAGAGGATCCCCTGAGCACTGCCAGAGGTAATTTCTGAGTGCAGAGCCAGGAGGAACCCCTGTGCAATGCTGGTGTGACTCCCCCGCCCCCCCCCCCAAAAAAGGAAAGAAAGAAGTGGCTATGAACTCTGTCCCCTGCGAGGTCAGGCCGGGCACTGCTCAGACAACAGGCTGGACAGGTACGGGCACCCTGATATCACAGTTCATCCAGTTCCCCGAGAACACGGTCCAGCCTGCCACGCCCGCGTCACCAAAAATGCCTCCACCCTCCACCCGCGGGGAGTCAATTTGCAGGGTTCTGGCAAACCGAAAGGCCCTTGAACCCGCAAATCCGGCCCTCTGGGTCTTAGTGCCACCTTCCCAGGTCCGTGAGGAGCACAGGACAGAGAGGGCCCGGGAGCCGGCCACTGCCCGACTCGGGGGGACGGAGAGGGTCCGGGATCAGCCACTGCCTGGTGAGCAGGGGGCATCGGGGCCGGGAGCGCCGCTACCTGACTGGGTGCAGGACTTCATGTGCTCGGGCCAGTGGGCCTGCTGGCAGGGGTAGTCGCAGTAGCTGGTGTTCCAGCAGCAGTAGAAGATGGCCTCTTTGCGGCAGTGCGCGCACCACTGCTTCTTCTTGGTCTCGTCCACCGCCTGCTGCTTCTCCAGCTCCAGCTGCTTCTTGACCTCGGCCATGAGCCGGTCCCGCTCCTGCTCCAGGCTCTGCCGCATCTCCGCCATGGTCAGCTCTGAGGGGACAAACACACAGAAACCGGTGGTCAATGGATGCGCCCCGCCCCCCAACCCCTGGAGCTGCCTGGTCTTACCCCGCAGCCTCCCGAGCCGGGTGCTGCGGTCTCTCCCCTGCACCCCCCCCAAAAAAAATACAGACCATGAGCGACCCCAGATGAAGCAAGCAGAGTTGAGTCTGGGGTCGCGCCCGCCCTCCTGCACTGAGCCCGCGATGGACACAGTTACGGCCCCAAGCCCTCCTTCCCAGACAGGGCTGGACCCGCTCTCTGGGGTGCTCCAGAGCTGATGCCCGTGACTGGGGCTCACTCGGGAACAGCCGGGGCTGACACCCGGGGGCGCCCCGCTCGCTCCACTCATGGCAGCTAGAGAAGGGGAAGGAGGGTCCCCGTGAGGCATGACCACCCCGGGGCCCCACGGGCCTCACCCAGGTTGTGCTTCATCTCCGAGAGCTCCTGCTGGTGCAGCCACTGTAGCTTCTCAATCTCGATCCTCAGCCTGCGGATCTGAAGGACACGGGACAAACGGCACCTCAGTGGGGGGGTGGGGGGGGCGCGGGGAGGGGGTCCCGGGGGGGTGAGCATCGCAGGTAGCCACCCCCCGTTCCAAGGACCCCCAAAGCTCAAGAGGGCCCAGACGGGCAGCAGTTTCTAGGATAAATAACCTGGTCTGGGGAGGCAGTACGGGAGCGGGGGAGGCTCTCCCTGTGCGATGGGGACCCCAGTTTGCAGCCGGGGCAGGGTGGGGAGCGACCCTCGAGCACCGAGCCGGGGACACCACCCCGGGCACAGCTGAGTGTGGCCTGTAAACAGAAGGACCATGACGAACGTGACCCTCCGAAAGGCTCAATGCGGACCTGAGCCAAAGCAGAGGCGGCCTCCTTCGACATCTGAAAGTGGGTCCAAAAAAGCCTTCAGCTGAAATCCCAAAAAGTCTTGAGAACCAAAAGGTACTCTGGGGGGAGGGAGGAGGGGTGAGACTGCACTACTGTCCCCTGGGGCCATCCCACCTGGCATTCATCCTTCACAAGGTGACCCTGTCCGGGGACAATCTGGTGGTCACAACCGGGGGTGCTATGAGAGCAGGTGTGTGTCAGGGCTTCTGCCGACCCATGCGAGGGCCGACCCCCAAAGAATGACGGGTCAGCGGCATTGCTAGCCTTGGGAAAGGAGCCCGAAGAATCCAGAAAGGCCAGTGGCTGTGGAGGGGCTTCTCAGAGCCTCACTCCCATCGGACACTCGGGGGAGGGAGAGCTGGGAGGTGCCATGGGGGAAATGTGTGTGCCGGGCAGTGCACCCCAAGTTCCATCCTCCTCCGGGGTCACCCCCCAACCTCAGCATCTCTGGGCCGGAACCACCGAGTCAGCACACTGCTGGACAGAGGTGACCCCGCGAGAACGGGGTCGTATCCGACTTCCTGGCACCCAGAGGAACCCCAAGGACTGAAATGGACCCAACCATACGCCAACATTTTAAACATCTTTCACTCCAGAGGTGAGGGCAGAGCAGGCCACCTTCTGGAACATTCCTCTTCTGTTTTGTTTTTGCTTTTTGGGTCACACCCATGGTGCTCAAGGGTTACTCCTGGGTCTACATTCAGGAGTTACTCCTGGCAGTGCTCGGGGTAGGACCTATGGGATGCTGGGAATCGAACCCGGGTCGGCCGTGTGCAAGGTAAACACCCTCCCCGCTGTGCTATCGCTCCACCTTCACATTGCCTCTTCTTCACGGGAGGGTCTACTTGGTCATCAGCGGTCACGGCAGTGCCCAGGAGTCTTGGCTCTTCACCACCATGGACACTAACCCCCGCCCCCGCCACACACACACCCTGGAACCCCAGGGCTGCCGAGGCCCCTGGCCACCCCTAGACACTGACCACCATCCAGGGAGGCTATTCTTAACGTGGTCATCACCGCGCCAGCCCCCAGGGTTAGCATGACGCGCGGAGACTCTGTACACTGGCCTCCACATGTCTGTGAGGAGGGAAGGATCACAGGACACACTTTACAAGGAGCGGTGAGACCGGCTTTCAGGTCCACTGAGGCTCACATGAGCACTGGACGCAGCCATAAGCGACCCAGGTGGCTGGGAGAAGAAACACCACCCCCATCCCCTGGACAGCGCTGGGACCCCCCCCCGCTTGGTAATGCCTGGGGTGGGCATCTGCGCTGACCTCGGCGATGGTGCTTCCAGTCGTGTTCTTGGAAAGGTCGTTGTAGATCTCCGTCATCGTGCCCTTGATGGCGTCCATCATCTGGAAGAGGACAGAGACGCCATGATGCCACCCTGCCCGGCTCTGCCCAGATGACATGCGCCCCAATTCCGTTTCACGGGCCCGGAGTCCCCCAGGTGAAATTAGACAATGGGTCCTACTGAGGTTTCCGGAACAGTCTCTTTTTTCACAAAAGAAACACGCATGACAACATTATTAGTAATCTCTCCTACTTCGGCTTAAAGGCTCAAGGCGAGACAAAACAGTCTTCACACACCTTCCCCTGAGGAAACTTTTTTGGATCACGTTTAGTGGCTTATCCATAACAAGCTACACCAAATACATTATTTTGGGACAGGCATTGGGGGTGGTGAGAATACACAAAATAATGGTGGTGGGAAGGTGGAATGGAGCTGGGATTGTGTTGTTTTATTGAGTGTAATAAAAATCCATGAAATTTTATGAATTTATAAAAATAAAGTTGAATTGGGGTCGGAGCGCTAGTACAGCGCATAGGGTGTTTGCCTTGCACGCGGTCGACCCGGGTTCGATTCCCAGCATCCCATATGGTCCCCTGAGCACCGCCAGGAGTGATTCCTGAGTGCAGAGCCAGGAGTAACCCCTGTGCCTCACCAGGTATGACCCAAAAAGAAAAAAAATAAAATAAAAATTGAATTGGAGTCAGAGCGATAGTACAGCGAGCTGGTAGGGCATTTGCCTTGCAAATGGCCAACCTGAGTTCAATGCCCGGCATCCCATATGGTCCCCCAAGCACCGCCAGGAGTGATTCCTGAGTGCATGAGCCAGGAGTAACCCCTGTGCATTGCTGGGTGTGACCCAAAAAGCAAAAAAAAAAAAGGGGGGGGTGTGCGTGGGGGGAATGAGGATTCTGGGAATGCCTGTTGGCCACCATTGGTACTATTCACTGTCATTTCTACAGTCCTGGCCACCTGACTCAGCTGAAGCCCTATCGCGCAAGAAGGGTACTGACCACCCACGTAGGAATCCGTGGCTTAAGGCTTCAGGGCAAGTCTGTGCTATGATCAGAGTCACAGGACTGGCGCCGACCGACAGCAGGTCAGACATGCCCTGCCCTGGGAACGGGCATTTCAGTGACTCCTCTGACAATAAAGCCCCACTGGCGAGTCCCCTGCATGCAACACATGGCCAGGAGGACAGAACGACAGCTGACCATCACCCGGACAGATGCACTGCAAGTGCCTGGCAGCTGCAGAGTGTGGAGGGACCCCAGCAGGACGCAGAGGTGGGTGAGAGGCACCAGGCAGTCCACGCCACTTTCTCAGAGCTGGGGCTGGGGGCTGCAGGTGGGGACAGGGACAGAGACAGGAGTCTGCAAGTCCTGGGTTTCGGTCTGTCCCTCTGTGGTTCCCGAATCCGAAACCCAAACCAATCTCTTAGCCCATCTTCACGGGCAGTCCTGCCTGCAGTCACACCCATGTCTGGTGCCTACTTTAGAAGCTGTGTGCTTGGGTTGTTTTTTTTTTTTTTTTTTTTTTTGCTTTTTGGGTCACACCCAGCGATGCTCAGGGGTTACTCCTGGCGATGCTTGGAATCGAACCCGGGTTGGCCACGTGCAAGGCAAATGCCCTCCCCGCTGTGCTATCACTCCAGCCCTAGAAGCTGTGTGCTCGGGGCATCACCCGTGCCAGCCTGGACCGCTCTGCTTAGACCCAACAAGACCCAAGTGAAGAATCTGGCCTCAGGAGTCCTCGGCGCAAACCGGCAGTCTGGGGAGACATCACAACAGGTGAGGCACTTGGCTTGCACGAGGCTGACCCGGGTTCGATCCCCGGCACCCCATAATACGGTCCCCCGAGCACCACGAGACGTGATCCCTGGAGCACAGAGCCAGGAGTAAGCCCTGAGTACTGCCAGGTGTGCCCCCGACACCCCCCCAAAGGAAATCGAGCATCCTTCCTTCCTGTGACCCCCCCACACACACACAAAAATCCTGCAAGGTCACCCCTGAGGATGTCCCCGGGGGCTCTCACCTTGCTAGTGTACTTGGCAATGTCGGCAGCGACGTCAGCCGAGGCGGTGGCAATGGGGAGGTCAGCGCTGATGGAGGAGGCCAGGGTGCTGGTGCCCCCGGAGCTGGTGACCAGGGAGGACGGCTGGGTGCTGGTCACCAGGGTGATGGTGGAGGTGGACGGGCTCTGCGTGATCTCCTTCTGCTGCACAGCTGGGGAAGCAAGAGGCGCACTCAGCCCCCTGCGGGGGAGGGGTCGGCCCAGCTCAAAGCCCCCGGGGGTGGGCAGAGCTGCGCACAGCCCACTGCCCCATCCGGGCACAAATGCCGCGTTCCCCACCCACGAGGCCACCCCCACCCTCCGGTTCCTGCTCTTCCAGACACCCAGAAACAGGGCTGGTCTCCTAGCCCCTGGGGAGGACAAGCACCCCGTCAGTAGACTCAGGGAAGCCTCCACGGACCATCCGCTTTCCCCGTCTCTAGCCCCCTTCAACCGTCTCCTCGCTCACCCTTATCTTCTCCCCGACACACCTGCCAGTCTCAGCGAGGGAGACGGATGGAAGGGCTGGAGCACTGGCTTTGTTCTGGCACCATGAGGTTGCTCAGCACCGATGGCTGGGCCTGGCCCTGAGCTCAGCCCCCAAGCTCCGCCTGGCAGGGTCCAGCCCAGAAACACCAGGCCCCCTCCCGGTCCAGGCTGAACCTGCTCTGGGGCAGCATTCTGCTTCTGGTCAGGCTCTGCCAAGTACCCCGTTCACATCCACCTGGATGGCCTTTAGGAACTGATAACATTACCCATGTGGGCACTTAAGACTTCTCTCGGGGAGGTTCCTAACGTCTGGGAGTCTGTGAGTCTGGCCGGGGAGGGGAACAGATTCACCCCAGCCGATAGCCCTGCCTGTCCCTGCCCGGCTGACCAAGCCTGTCCCCCTCCCGCCCAGCTCCCCAGGGTCCTACTGGAGGCCGGGTTAGTCCTGGCTCCCTCTGCATCTCACATCCCGCAGGCCTCCATACACTCGGGGTCACTGGCTACGGGGGAGGGCCAGGCAAGGGACCCCTTCCAGGATCCAGACACAGGTTACTGAGAGCTGGTGGCCACGGGGCTCCCCCTGGTTCTGGAGGGATCCCCCGACACAGCTGGGGTAGGGGTGGGGGGGCGCACGTGACATCAGCTGTCAGAGAAATCCCACGGTCCGACGGGAACACTGGCTGCCAACTGCCCACTCAGCAAGTCTCCCGAACTCATGCCAAGACATCCGAGCACACGCATGGAAAACATACGCGAGCGTGTTCAGTGCAGCCCCGCTTACACCGGGAAAGACCGGAAGCAGCCTGTGCTCGTCCGTGGGGGGAGCACTTGGAATAAAGGCGGGAATAGTACGCAGCAGTCCACAGGGATGAAGGAGAGCTCTGAGAACGGACAAGGAGAGGCCTCCAAAACATGCGGGTGGTAGGGAAGAGGCAAGTAGGATACCAAGTCTATGCTTTTAAAAAAGAAAAAAGGGGGAAAAAATAGAAAAAGGAAGTCATCACTTTTTTTTTGGGGAACGGCTTCATATATATGTCAATGTAACTATATATGCACACATGTGTCAAACGTGTGTGTCCGTGTCAACGGGGCAGCTAAGAAAGGCAGAAGCATGAAATGAACCGTCGACTGGTGGGACGACAGACTTCGCTGGAAGCATCTGGACCCCTTCCTAAGGGCCACCTAGGCCTGGATGGTTCAGTTCACGACCGATTATTTAAAAAAAAAAAAAAAAAAATGAAAGTAAAACCCTCAAGTGGCCAAACCATTTTCAAGAAGGAAAAAAAGAAAAAAGCCGAACGGAAGGTGTCAAAGGGCCTCTTGGGATACGGGAAAGGCCTCGGGTGGCCGGAAAATAAACGGGAACTGAAAAATGAAAAATGAAAAAAAGAAAAAAAAAAAGGAAGAACAACGTCTGTTTCTGTCCCGCCGGAGAGGCCGAGGGGCGCGTGCCGCGGGGCGGGGGGCGGCTGATACCTTTCACAGCCTGTCTGGTCTGGTATCTCGTCCCCTGGGAAGACAGAGGCGGCTGCGGTGGCGGCGGCTGTGGCGGCGGCTGGCGCTGCATCTTCTGCATGTGCCACTTTTGGGAGGACGTTTGAAACTTACTTGATGAGTTCCACACGACCCGCTGCACGGCCGGGGCGGTCTCCTTCGGCAAGAGCGGCCTCTGCTTTTTCACCGGGCTTCCCGTGGCGGCGGCCGCCGGGGCCGTGACGGTGGACGCGGTGCTGGTGGTGGCGGTGACCCCAGCCGTGGGCGTTTGCGAGGCGGAGCGGGTGAGGACGGGCGTTTCCGGGGGAGACAGGCTGCCCGCCGCCGCCGTGGTTGGTGGCGCTTTGGCCACGACTGGAACCGACGCGTGAAACAGAACAGACACGGGATTGGACTCGGCCCGGCCGCACCATCTCTCCGCGTCCGCCAAGTCGGGGAGAGCCCAGCGCAGGGGAGTGGGCACCGGGGACCCGGTCCAGCCCCGCAGGGATGCCTTCGTTTCGGGGTGCAGCCCCCCCACTCCCGAAGACCCTCCCGCAGCTGGCCGGGAACGTGAAGCCAAGTTCCTGGTGAGACAAGATGTACGGTAAAGAGGGGGTCTGTCCCACTGCAGGACCCCGCCTGTCCAGATCCACCTGTCCAGCACCGGAGACGGCCGCTGCCCACCCCTTCAAGGGCAAAGTGATACTGCCGCTGACCCTGTTCAGTACCCCGGTAAGGGCAAGTTCCTTGAAGGGGAGGCGGCCTGAGCCAGCCCTGGCCCTGCCATCCAGCCGCCCACCTGCTAGTGGACAGGGAGGACCCAGGTCGGGCCTCACCAGGCCGCAGGTCACTCTGTGGTTGACCCAATCAAAGTCATTCCACGGCTTAAGAAAAAGCCTTTGGCTTTGGGGACCTCGAAGCATAGGTACCCCCGAGCATCGGACGGCTTCCTTGGGGCCCCCCAAAGCAAACCAGATGAAAGCACCCCCAGAGAGTAAATGATCCTGCTGTCTGTGACAAAGTCCCCGTGGGGAGGCGGTCTGGGCTCCAGAACCTTCCTGACTCTGGGACGTTCATCCAGAAACATCTATCGGTGCAGGTAACAAACAAGATGCCACCAACTGGACTATGGGGTGAGGGAGGGTCTCGGGGCTCACAGCACTGGGCCGGGCGGGGGGGGGGGGGGGGGCGTGGAGTGGAGGTGAGGGGAGCCCCAGACAAAAGGCGAGGCAAGACAGGAGCGTCTGGACGTCAGCGAGGCAGCAGGAACGGCCACAAGGCAGGTTAGACCAGAAGCTCTGAGCAGGTAGCAGGCGGCGACTGACCATGTGGGGGCTCGTTTGTAAGAACAACCAAGGGGGGAGGGGGGGACATGATCCCTCAGAGGCCGCCCCACTCCTGACAGGTGAGGCTGGGCCCCAGGTGAGGCCAAGGCCCCGATGTCATATTATCTTCAGTAAGGATGACCCAGGGGTCCCGGTAGCTGAGCTCGGGGACACGGGACCGTAAGGTGCAAAGACTCACTGACCTTCCGGGGGGACGACACTATGGCCGTCACTCCCCCGGCCTCCTGCAGTTGCCCGGGATGGTGACGCCAGATTCCTGGTGAGGCAGGATGTAACAAGGGGGATTCGTCCCACTGCAGGACCCCGCCTGCCTCAGCACCACCTGCCCCTCTCCGTCCCTCGGAGGACAGTGACATGCAGCTGACCCTGGGAGCTCCCCGCAGAAGGACAAGACCCCATTGGCCGGCTCTGAGCCCACAGGAAGTACCTTCAAATAACTCCTACCTCCTGCCAAGTGATCCCCTCAAAATATCCGTTACTGGACCTGGGGGATGATGGGGGGAGGGGTTGAGGTCACAATGTTCAGGAGCTACCCCTGCTTCTGCACTCAGGAACTACTCCTGGTGATGCTCCAGGGACCATACGGGATGCTGGGGATGGAACCCGGGTTGGCCGCATGCAAGGCAAACACCCTCCCTGCTGTGGTATCTCTCTGGCCCCCGATATCCAATATTCTTGATTAACTTGTCCAGATCACCCCTTCCACAGACAAAAAGCAAGTCCCCCCTTTCTGAGGGCTTTGGGAGAAGGGGAGAGAGTTATATAGAATTCCATTGTCTTAGAAAGTCTGAACAATTATGTTTCAATGAATTTATGAACACAAATGTGTTCATAAATTCTGAACGATGATGAGAAACGTCACCTCTCACCTCCCACAAGGGCAATTTTTTTTTCTTTTTGGGTCACACCCGGCGATGCACAGGGGTTCCTCCTGGCTCTGCACTCAGGAATTACTCCTGGCGGTGCTCGGGGGACCATATGGGATGCTGAGAATCGAACCCGGGTCGACCGCGTGCAAGGCAAACGCCCTCCCCGCTGTGCTATCGCTCCGGCCCCCAGAGCGAGCCAACTTCTTGAAGAGTCATTAGGTCAGAAGCTCAGACACTAAATGACAGTAGCCAAGCCCAGCGTGTGCCAGGCCGCCTGGCCTCCAGTGCCACGGGGTGAGCCTTCCGAGGCCCCCTCTAAAGGGGCGCCTGTCCTCTCAGCTCCGAAACCACAAGCTCCAGGCCTTCGACTCTGTGCAGCAGCACAGTCGGTTACCAGCGGGTGGGGGTCAGCACACACGCTCTGCAAAGCCCTACACCCCGTCCACTATCAGGGGCAAGGAGGACACTGACCAGGTGCTCGCCCACTGGGTCTGACAGCAAGCCAGGGCCCAGCCCCCAGACCATCCCCTGCTCCCAAATCACCCTGGCATGGTTCTCAGTGGCCTGTCCTCTTAGGGACGTGGTGCGGGTTGTGGGGGGAGGGTTCTGTCCTTCTCTCCTCGCCTCTCTGTGTTCCCTACTCTCTCCCTCCCCCGCCCCCCCGCCCCTCGGCGAACCCCCAGGCTCCTCCCTTGGGTCTCCGGCCCTTCTCCACTCCCACTTGCCAAACCAAGTAAAAAATGTGTTGACTGCTTGGTCGTGGGGAAAGGCGCCCCTTCAAATCCCACAGAGCCCTTCTTTTCTAGAGAGTTCTGCCAAGGCGCAGAGGCTCTGCCTGGAACTGCAGCCAAGGCGGATGGGCCAAAGTTCTCAACTGTGGGTGGGATTTTTTTTTTAACCCACTCCCTCCCAGGAATTTTTTTTTTAATTGCCACAGGGTAGGAGTGGGGACTGGGGGGGGGGGGGGGGGGGTGCGGCGCGCAGCTAATGACCACCCAAGCACACACAGGACAAAGAACCATCCAGTTCAAAAAGGTCAAGTGTCTGCGTAGAGTGATCCGGAACTCACGTCAAGTGAAATCCAAATGGGACAGAACGCATTCACTCCAAGACACACCACCCCCCTACTTAGAGTGCTCCCCCAAACCCCAAACACACCCAAAGGGGGCTTCCATCCTAAGAAGCCAATGGCCTGGAGAAGCCCAGGAGGGCAGGGGATGGGAGGGAAGGGCAGGGAGGCCAGGCCCGTGAGAGCTTAGGCCTATGCACAGTGACTCAGTGATGATGGGGCTGAGAGAGAGCGTACAGGAGTCGTGGGGGGCCCACACATGACTTGATGGCCAGAGGCTGTGCTAACCATTGTGCTTCCAAGCCTACGAAGGAGCCAGAGGCAGACATGCCCACCCCCGCCCACACACAAGCCTGTTCCGCTACCTGAGGACCATTGACTCGGTCACGGCTAGAGGCAAGGGGAGACCCTGAACCGAAGGTAGACACAGGGAGTCACGCCCCGCCACTTACCATCCTGCGTGGGAGACGGCTCTTTGGGGTCCTTCTTATTTTTCCGACCCTCCCGCCCCGTCTGGTCTTCTCCGAGATCAATGACCAGTTCGCTCTCGGAATCGGAGTCCAGGCCCAAATGCACGGTGGCGGTGTCCGTCTCGTCCTTCCCCTTCAGTTTGTCCTTGGCGGGGTGGGGTGAGGGTTTGGCTTTTTCCGGAAAATCCTTCTCGGGCTGGGGGCTGGCCTTGTCCTTGGCCGGGGGGTCCGCATCGGCCTTCTCGCTGGCTGGCGAGGCGCCTTTCAGCTCTTCCTTGGTCTCCGCGGGGTTCGCCAGCTTGGGCTTCTTGGCGGTGGCCGGCGGCTCCTTGTCCAGGTGGGCCCCCTCCTTGTCCTCCGTCTCCTCCGGCTCGTTCTTGGCCTTCTGCTCATCGTCACTGATGTACTCGCTGTCGCTACTCTCGGACTTCTCCGAGTCCTCGGAGTCACTGTGCTCTACGGCCGTATAAACATCTTCCGAGATCTCATTTATGCCTAAATTCAAAGAGAAAACCCAGCATGTGGCGGACTCATAAGAGACAGGGCAGGAACCAAGAACGCACACATTTGGGTTTTTTTTCCCCCACGCCAACTGCTGGGATTAAAAAACCAACCAAACAAACAACAACAACAACAAAAACAAACCCATTGCAAACGGCATCAGGCTGGCGTGATGGGATGAGGAACCTCAGAATCACAACTGGCCATGCCGGACAAAACGGAACTTGGGGTAGCAGAGGGCTTCGGTGACTGACACCCAGAAAAGGTACCGACGAAAACTACGGGCACCGTCAGGGGGCCTGGTGGGCAACTGTGCCAACATGGACGGTCAATCAGAACACGTATGGATCAGCAGGGATGCAGGGAACACCGCAGGAGTCGTTAACTGACCCAGGGTCCAGACTGGAAGAAGGAGCCCAGAGGATCATCTGTCTGAGAACACAGAGCCAACCCAGGCTGAATCCCCGAATGCCCTAGAGCCCCCGAACACCCCGTCTGCTGAGCCTCTTGTGTCTGTCTAGGCTCGAGAGAGAGAGACAAGTCTGGGCCTGAATGAGAGTCTGCAAACTCACCAGCTGTCCCCAGCTCTGGCCAGCAAACACACGTGCTTAGAGAGGCAGCAGGAGTCTGAGACACGGGGAATTTGCTGCCTTTTGTTTCGTTTTATTTTAATGGGCAGTTTATGGCCTAATTCACAAATCAGGAAATTTTGCATGGACACCAACGTGGGCTGACACAGAGAGAGGACACGCATTGGGGCCATCCAGAACCACAGAGGATTGCTGGCCCCCAGCCCTGGGCCCAGGCCCCTCTTCTAGACAGGGGAGCACCCTCTGCACCCAGGCGGGCTCCGGCCAGCGTCTGATCTGTCTATTCATCGTGGGGTCGGGAGGAGCTTCTCTATTTCCATGGCTCAAGAAAAAAAGGGGAGAAGACAAATGCCAGCCGTGACTCATATGGAAGAGGGTGGGCACACGCTGCTCCCTGACTCCATCCCCTCGCGGGAACACCAGCCCCAGGGGATGGTCACAATTCTGCTCTCCACCCCTGATTTTCACACCTGAACACCAGAACCACCACCGAGAAGGGTCACCGCCTCGCCCAGGACAATAGCACCATCCTCCGGGAGGCAGAGCTGCCTCCTCCGTCAGGCTCGGTCCAGATCCGACAGATGTAAATGACGGAAACCCCCGTCGGAAGAGCTGCCCGGGTCCCGGGCTCGCGGCGCTGATGCTCCCACACAAGAAAGACGAGCCAGGCTGTTGGCAGGGGACACACAGACTCTAAGTCCTGTTCTTGCTCCTCTGCTTCCATGAGCTGTAGGCTCTGGACGACCAAGTCCCCCTCACAGCCTCAGTTTCCACAGAGGGAGCCGGACAGCAGACTTCCCTCCCAGGGCGACCGGAGCCCAGCGGGGAACAGAGGACACCCATTTTCCTACTAGGATGAATGCTCAAGTTCTTGGTAGAATCAAGACTCGACAAGACGCTAGTTACGAGGAAGGGTCCACACAGGGCAGGACAATGGCCCGCAAAGCTTCCTGCCCCTCGATATCCGAGCGCAACAGGAAACCCACTGAGACAGTTCTCTGAAACCCCCAACCACTCCCGAGATCTTGGGGCTCACAAGACCCTGCCGCCCCCACTTACTCATCAAGGTTTTATTTATCCTCAAACCCACCCAATATTCCAGAACATCTACCCTGAACACAGGCCGGGGACCTCAGGAAGGGCAGATTCCTCCATTGGTACCTCCTTGCCCTCAAGAAGTTTCCAGCCTACCTAGGAGGGCTCCATCCCCCCAGCACAAGTGGGCTGAGGATGCTACGAAGCAACACAGTCCCCAGATGGGGAGGGCAACCAGAGGAGACTTCCTGTAGGAGGCAGCACCTGAGTTCAGTCTCAGGGTCAGGATTCCAGAAAGCAGCATGAAGGCGGGCAGCAAGGAAAGAGGAAAAGAGGCGAAAGATACTGAAGCAGGCCGGGGCTGAGGGGGGCGGGGGTAGGGGGGAGGCGCTCGGTCCAGTCTGCAGGGCGAGGGGTGGTGTTGTACACACTGGACCCCAGAGCCCAGAACCCGGGGTGGGGGTGGGGGGTCCTGCTGCCCAATGGCCCCCAGGTCCTGGCGGTGGGCTGGGGAGGGTCTCCCTTCACGCGGCAGTGGTGGTGCTGGCGGCGGCGTGGGCAGCCTGGGACGTACCTAGCTGGGCTTTGCAGCTCTCGATGGTCTTGTCGAGGTTCAGCTGGAAGTGGCTCCGGATCTGGCGCTTGGGAGAGACGAGCGGGATGGGGGTGGCTTGCTGCACCGACTCACTCAGTTCCTTCAAGTCCATCTCGGCTTTGCTCCGGTCTGGAAGACACAAAGGCGCCACCGCGTGCGTGAGACCAGGCACCGAGGGACGGGTGCGCGGGGCTGCCAGGCAGCCTCTCCCATGGAGGACACACGCGTCAAACCGCGGAGTCGCGAGCCTCAGGCACTTGTGTCAACGATGTGGTCGGCACAGTGGCAGGAGCTGACTGGACCCAAGGGCCAGGGGGACACTCTCCAGGTGTCCTGGAGAATCGTCAGACTGCTCTCAACACTGGACAACACTGAACACATCCCCCAGGGTCACACTCGGTGATGCTCAGGGTTGACTCCTGGTTCATCCACTCAGGAATTACTCCTGGTGGTACTCGGGGGACCACATGGGATGCTAGGAATCGAACCCGGGTCAGCCGCATGCAAGGCAAGTGCCCTACCTGCTGTACTATCACTCTTTGCTTTGCATGTGTGACATCTAGGGTTCAATCCCCAATACCACCACCACCATCACCAGCACCACACACACACATACACACACACACACACACACACACACACCCCAACACACAATCCTAGTCACATGGCTGTCTGGGGCCTCAGCAGGGCAGACCCTCCAAGTCAGAAGTCAAGGGGTCGTCAGAGCGTCCTGACCACACACCAGGCTATCTTCACTGGGGCACCTCCGAGGGGAGTGGGTTGAGTTTCCCTCCCCACACCAAGCAGAACCCCAGCAGCCAAAACCCTCCAATACCCGACTGCAGTCATGCTCAAGGCTACTCTCAACAAGCTTGGAGGAGTCTCACCCATGAGGGAACCTGTAGAAAAACCCAGGTATTTGGAACCTGTGACTGAGATCTCCAAGCCCGCTCAGTATGGGACTGGGCCTCCTCCTCCCAGCTCCCTAGTTTTCCAGTAGCTTGACAGTCACACCCACAAACTGCCCCTGGTGCCATATAATCTCACTAACGGCCAAGATCCAAAGACTCTGAAACAAAGCTCCCGAAGAGAGCGACACAGGGGGCTGGAGTGATAGTACAGTGAGTAGGGTGTTTGCCTTGCATGGGGCCGACCCAGGTTCGATTTCCAGCATCCCATAGGGTCCCCCGAGCACCGCCAGGAGTAATTCCTGAGTGCAGAGGCAGGAGGAACCCCTGAGCAATGCCGGGTGTGACCCAAAAAGCAAAAACAAAAAACAAACAAACAAAAAAACTCAGACTCTCCAGAAGTGTCAGGTGACCCATAGGGACAAAACCACGAAGGCTAAGAACCACTGGGCCAGGAGACCAAGGTCCCTGCGGGGGTGGACAGAGACAGGTGGGCCAGGCAGGACCCTCAGGCCCCTTCACTTGAGCATTTCCGCACTCATGTTCTCCGGCCAGGCACTTACGTCCGAACAAAGCAGTGTCGGCCTTCGCTCTGAGCACTGAACAAAGAGCCCCCCTGACTCCTCGGCTGTAGGGGCACGGACTGCCAGGTGCCCCGAAATGGGGCAGGGGGTCTCCTTGCCAGAGAAGACAGTGTCATTCAGACAAAGCAAGGGGCAGGTGCCTGGATCCTTACAGCCCTCCCCTACTGCCCACGCCAGTGTCACCTTCCACAGAAGCTGCAGTGAAAGGGGGGTGCAGGCTATTTCACCCACCCAGAGTGGGGCGGGTGAGAGCCCTCCCTGCGCCAAGGAACCCAGTCCCAGCAGCTGGAAACCTTCACAGCCCAACCACCGCCACGCTCAAGGCCACTCCCCACACTCAGGCCAAGCCTCATGCAACATCTTAAGACACTCCCTACCCATTCTCCAAGAGCAACACATTATATTTGATAGGGTTCAAATAGCCAGCAACCAATCATAGAGGGAAATATATACATGCATATGTACATATTTCCATATATATATACACATATATGTATGTATATACAAGAGCTCACATCAGTCAACCTTTAACAACAAGTTTGTGATCTCTTATAGATGGTCCTAATGGCCCCTATTGAAATAGAACAATCTTTACACTGTTTCCTCTATGGATACTTTTTTGTAGCATTTTCAATAGTTTCTCATAAAAAAGCAATACGAAATATATTATTTCGGTTCTGCCTTGGGACAGGGGTTGGGGCTTGGGATAGAAACATCCTAAATATGGTGATGGGATTGGTTTCTGAATATTAAATGTAATAAAATATTGTGAACTACCTTATGAAATTTGAAAAAAAAAAACATACACACACTAAAAAAACAAGGGGGTTGGGGGGCGCAAACCAGTGGGAACACTCCAGATCCAACCGACCAACAGGTGTCAACTCCGGCAAGCACTGCCCGCAAAGGCAGACTCACCTCATCGTGACCCCAACACTCAGGCTCTGGGGACTCGATCCAATCCCCGAGGCCGTTTCTGCGACCCCCGTCCGTCTCTCCTAGCCCACGGCTCAGTTCAGCCTCCTCTGCCTACCTCTCTGGATCTCTCCGTGCTTGACCGCCCGGGATCTCACTCTGCTCTTTAATCTCTAGACCAGTCTCTGTCACCCTCAGCTCTGCTGTCCCGGGGCCCAGAGAAACACCCTTCTGGGGTTTGTCCTGTGCATTGAAAGATGCTTAGCGGCGCTTCTGACCTCCAACCACTAGGTGGCAGCAGAACCTCCCGTTCCTGCCGCCCCAGTTGTGAAAACTGCAACCCAAGTATCCAATCAATCGCATATCCAATTGAACTTTGACCTCTCCACCTGGCAGTCTAGATAGTGAGCACCCCTACCTGAAGTCTGGGCTGATTCCTCCTGCCACGACCCAATCTGTCCATCCCTGGCACGGTACCAGCTACAAGCCAGCAAGCCCCAGGAAGCCCCCGCCACAGTGTGATAACCCCAAAAACATCTCCCAGGAATCCCCCCGAGAAAGCAGACCTGCTTCCGGCTGCCAACAGCTATTCTCAACAGAGCCAGGAGCTCAGATGCTGTCTGCCTAGATTCCTCTTCAGCTCAAACTGTGACCCTAGGGATGAGACATTTCTGGTTCTTTCTAGAAAGTTCTCCCTGTTTACAGGGATGGCATGCTTTGACGGATCAGTCCAATCTCTGCTCCACTATTTCCTCCTCCCCAAGGCCCTCCCTGAGCTCTCTGAGGGGTGCCCACCTCCCACCTCTGATACAGTATTGTAACTATCTTGGTTATGTCCTGATTACTGTAGTTTCCTCTGGAGAACCCAGACTCCGCGAGAGCAGGCTCCGTGCTCTCAGCCTCTGCCCCAGAAAACAGGATGGAACAGACAGAGTTATTCAGTGCTCCTGGGGGTGATTCTGGCTAAAGACTTCGCCTGAGGTAGTGCTATTAGAATAATAACTCGGGGACAGAGAGGTAACACAGTGGGGTTATGGTACCTGCCTGGCATGCTGTAACCCTGGTTCTATCCCCAGCACTGCCAGGAGCAGCCCCAGAACACCACCGGATGTGGCCCCCTCCAGTGAAAAACCACCAATAAAACCCAATGGGTTCCTCTCCCAAACCCCCACCCCAAAAATAGGCAAGGGATAAAGACCAGCATTTGTTTGATTTTGGTTTTTTGGGCCATACCCCGCTGTGCCCTGCTGGCTCTGTGCTCTGGGGTCACTCCTGGCAGTGCTGGGGGAGCATATGGGATGCCAGGGATTGAAGCTGGTCAGCTTCGTGGAAAGTCAATGCCTTATTCACAGGCCCCAAAGACCATCATTTTTCTTAAAAAAAAATATATATATAGTATTGGGCTGGAGCGATAGCACAGTGGGCAGGGTGTTTGCCTTGCACGCGGCCAACCTGGGTTCGATCCCCAGCATTCCATATGGTCCCCCGAGCACCGCCAAGAGTGATTCCTGAGTGCATGAGCCAGGAGTAACCCCTGTGCATCACCGGGTGTGACCCAAAAAAGAAAAAAAAAAGTATTAACAATACATTGGTCTGTACTGCACAAAGTAAAAATAAATCTTGACTGAAGGGGGCTGGAGCGATAGCACAGCAGGTAGGGCATTTGCCTTGCACGCGGCTGATCCGGGTTTGATTCCCAGCATCCCATATGGTCCCCCGAGCACCGCCAGGAGTCAGTCCTAAGTGCATGAGCCAGGAGTAACCCCTGAGCATCGCTGGGTGTGACCCAAAGAGAAAAAAAAAAATTTTTTTTTGACTCAATAAAACTTGTGACTAGAGAAGAAAAACAGCAAGGGGTGTAGCGGTGTTCGACACACTGAAGCTCAGGTCTGTGCCCTGTTCCAGCACCTCATGGTCACCCACACACAACTGGAAGAAATCCACCCACCCAACCCCCAAGCACCTGGCCAAGAGCTGCCCCCAAGACCCCAGCCAGAGTTATTACCCCAGCAAGGTTCACTAAAGACAGAGTGTGTATGTGCTTAATACACACTCACTACACACCAATGAACGCAAACACGTGTATTTACACGCCCGGGAGCTGGGACCCTGGGCAAGGAACAGGGAAGACTTCCGGTCAGAACCACCCTGCGTGACAGGAGACCCAGGAACACCCTTTCCTCATCCTGTTTATCGTTCCCTCTTCATCTCCATCTACGGAACCTTCCAAGAGTTCTGTGTTTCTATTTACAATAGCCAGAAAATGACCCGAGTGCCCGAGAACAGATGACTCGTTAAAGAAACTCGGGTACATGTACACAATGGAATACGCTGCAGCTGTTGGGAGAGATGAAGTCATGCAATCTGCATATAAGTGGATGGTCATGGGGAATATCATGCTAAGTGAAATGAGTCAGAAAGAGAGGGACAGACATAGAAGAACTGCACTCATCTGTGGAATATAGAGTAACATAATGGGAGACTGACACCCAAGGACATTAGAGATAAGGCCCAGGAGGATCGCTCCATGGCTTGGAAGCCGGCCTCACATGCTGGGGGAAAAGGCAGCTGGGATAGAGAAGGGACCACTAAGTAAACGATGGCTGGAGGGCTCGCTCAGGATGGGAGATGCGTGCTGAAAGTAGACTATGGACCAAACATGATGGTCACTTAGTACCCATACTGCAAACCATAACACCCAAAACGAGAGAGAGAGAGAGAGAGAGAGAGAGAGAGAGAGAGAAAGGGAAAGTGCCTGCCACAGAGGCGGGGGGAGAGGGAAATAAAGGAGGCTGGCAGGAGGGATACCAAGAACATTGATGGTGGAGAATGGGCACTGGTGGAGGGATGGGCACTCGATCATTGTATGACTGAAACGTAATCGTGAAAGTCTGTAAATCTGTAACTGCATCTCACGGTGATTCATTAAAAAATAAATAAATAAAGAGTTCTGTGTTCGAGGACCACGCCCTAGAGAACAAGCCCATCTGCAGAACGGCCCACAGCCACACGGAAAGACGCCTCCCCCATCGCCAACTGACCCAGGTTCAGGTTCAGGATGCTGCCCGTCGTGGCCGCTTTGTCCGTTTTCGTGGTGATGGGTGTCGATGCTTGTGGTGAGAAAGGTTTCGGGCTGCCTGACAGACTCCCGGCTTGGCCTGTCTTCAGGGACGCTGGGGAAGCTGAAAAAAATTTAAAAAAGGACAGCAAGTGTTAACAGGACAAGACTGGCAAGTTCAGCAGACGGAACGTGGAGGTGTGGGGCAGGGAGAGACCGCAGGAGGATCCACGAGCCCAGCGGAGCAGGGCAGAACGGTGGAGCAAGGGCGGCCCATTTCACTGCAATGTTAAGTGTGAAACCCAACCGTCAGCGGTGAGAGCTGCCAAGAATGGAACCTCCGGGTTCCTCAGCTCAATATCGGCTACACTGTCACGGACATTGGTTTGGCCCCTGCATGGGCGTAAAAATCTCAAAAACATGGATTCAACTGGCCCCTGGCACCAGGCAGATGCAGTGCACGAGGCAGGCACCGCGATGGCGTGTGCCACCCCGCATAGCCCAGCACCTGCCGGAGCATCCCAGTTCAAAGGTTCAGCCAAGCTCCACACCAGACTGAGTGAGGGGGTACTGTAAGAGATCCCCCGCCTCACTGAGCATTAGACTTTTAGAGGAGGCCCGAGAGGCGTCCTGAGCCTGGGTGTAGGTCCCTACGGGCGCCGAGGAAGCCAGTCAGTGTGTCTGCCCAGTGCCACCAGGGAACCAGGTCAGATAGACGTGGTCAGGGGTCGGGGCGATAGTACAGCAGATAGGGTATTTGCCTTGCACGCGGCTGACCCAGGTTTGATCCCCGGCATCCCATCCAGTCCCCCAAGCACCGCCAGGAGTAATTCCTGAATGCAAAGCCAGGAGGAACCCCTGAGCATCGCTGGGTATGACCAAAAAAGCCGTAAACAAACAAATAAATAAAAAGAGCAGATGTGGCCAAGACTCCTGTCCTCCCCCCAACAAGACCCAGCAGGGGCCGGAGAGGTAGTACAGCGGGGAGGGCATTTGCCCAGCACGCAGCCAACTCGGGTTTGACTCCCAGCATCCCCTGTGGTCCCCCCGACCTGGGGTAAGCCCAGAGTAAGCACGACCAGGTGTGGCCCCCGAAACAAAACAAACAAGCATCCGGAAGCAGTCCCGGCCCTCCAGAGCAGTCGCTGGCCAGTCCCGAGGACTCAGGACATCCTCAGGCATGTGGTAGGTCCCCCCCCACCCCCGGGCCCTTGCTTGCCACAGAGGTGCTCCATGTTTCAAACCTGTACACAAGTTCTCCTGGAAGAGGTATGGGCTGAAGTGACAGGACCCACCAACATCCAGGTGTGTGTGTGTGTGTGTGGGGGGGGGGGGGGGGGGGGGAAATGCTCAACAACAGTGTTTAGGGGGGGCAGGGGACCCCTTCGGTGATTCCTAACCAGCCAGCCAGTGGTTCTGTGCTAGGGTCCGGGAATATGGTACTCAGGGCCGATCTGGGGCTGACCTGGGCCACCCCAGGGGTGCTCGGTGGTCCCCAGCGCTGCACCCAGTGATGCTCGAAGAACCGCATGGTACCCGGTCAACCACATGCAAGGCCAGCGCCTTCATCCCTGGGCCATCTCTCCAGGCCCCACTGCTCTTCGGAATGGACCAGAACAGGGGAAAGTCAGCAGACGGGAGAAATGGATTCGAGCCAAGACGGCAGCCAGACTGGGGCTCAGACGCTCTGCTGCCGCCTTGCTGAGCGACTTCCGACAAGTCACCTGACATCTCTGATTCCCCTTTCCCAGGCAGCACCCAAAAGGGAAACTAATAATAGAACACAGGGGGGCCAGACATAGAGGCAGACTCCAGGGATGGGGTGGGGGTGGCAGGAGGAAACTGGGGACACTGGTGGCAGGAAATGTGCACTGGGACAGGTGTCGGAACATTGTATGAATGAAACTCAATCATGAATCACTTTGTAACTGTGTTATCTCAAGGTGATCAAATACAAAAATCTTCTTTTTAAACACCTTTGTGGGGCCAGAGTGATAATACAGCGGGGAGAGTATTTGCCTTGCACACGGCCAGGTCAGGTTTGATCCCTGGCATCTCGTATAGTCCCCCAAGCACTGCCAGGAGTAATTTCTGAGTACAGAGCCAGGAAGAACCCCTGAGCATTGCTGGGTGCGACCCAAAAAGAAAAAAAAAAATACCTTTGTTCCTTAACTGGGAAGGAGAATTTTTTGAAGAGGCACATACATGATATACCAGTTTTCCATTAAACATTTGTTGTTGAGCCCCAGCTCCCAGGTAACCTCTGATTCTGGAAGTCACACCCACAACCCACCCCCCAGCGCCATCTTTACAGCACACAGCAACAGAAGAAAGGCCACTGGGAGGCTCCACAGCTCCCGGAGAATGTTCCAGGTCCCAAAACAGATCCGAGATCACTGGGAAGTCCCAGATGGGGTAGGTGCTGCATCCCGCCTTCTCCAGATGGAACCCCGGTGACCATGAGCCTCTACAAGCATAGCTCGGGCATGCGGGAACCAGGACTTTTACTCCAAACCGCGCGGCCGCTTACACGGCCACGTGACATCTCCTTATATACAAAGTGATCAACGGAAAGTAAATCATCCAACGTTTCTCCCTGAAAATCAGGCTTAACTCTTGTACAAACCACAACACCCAATAGGAGAGAGAACAAAAGGGACTGCCCTGCCACAGAGGCAAGGTGGGATGGGGGAGATGGGGGGTGGGAGGGATATGGGATCCGTGGCGGTGGGAGATGGTCACTGGGGGAGGGATGGGTTTTCAAAATAAGTAAATAAATAAAAATTTAAAAAGAAAATTTGTTGTTGAATTTATATGTACTTTAGTAAAGAAATGTGTTTTGAACATGAAAACAAAAATCTCCTTTTTAAGGGAAGAAAGGCTGGCAGAAGTTGCAAGGATCAGATCAGACAAAGCAGCCGATCACCTGAGCTGTGCCTCCATCCACTTAGGGGCTATTTCTGGCCACTAATGAGCAGACGGTTCTCTCTTTCCCTCCTCGCCTCCAGCTAAGCCAAACTTGTCTGGCTCCAGCCCCAAACTCTGCCCTCTTTAAGCAAAGAGAAAGCATCCCCTCCCTCCAACTGCACCCAAGCCGCCATCTCCACATCCCCAGGGACAGTGCGGCCCACCCTGGGAACAACCGTGTCACCCCGGGCAGAGAGAACTGGCCTCCTGGGGTGGGGCCCAGGACGCTGCTGAGGGCAGCAAACCCCTCACCGCCTCCCCTGAACCACTTCAGGGTCAACGGTGCTGGGCAGGCCTGGGTCCGAGTCGGCACCGACCCGGACGGGAGGGCAGGGCGGCAGCTGGAGTCACTGACCCATTACACTCTGAACAAGCGCTCAATAAAGATGCGAGATTGTTCGGAGAAATAAGCTGCTGAAACGCTGACTCCGTTTTACTGTAAGAGTGACCGAGTACCTGCCAGACCGCGTCCCCTCCCGAGGGAGGGCTGAGACCCAGGGTTAGGGCTGGGACTGACAGAGCCGAGAGCTCAGCACACCAACAAGACACAACAAAGAAAAGAAGAGAAAAAAAAAAAACATGTTTCAAAAAGCTTTTTAAGGATGACTAAAGAAATCTTCAATCTTAGGACTGTTCTTCTTTTTGGCCACACCCAGCGGTGCAGGGCAAACGCACTACCCACTGCGCTATCTCTCTGGCCCCCTATTATGATGGTTCTTTGCATTATTCATTCATGATGTTCTCCCTGCACCCGGATGTGCCCATGCTGAGCAGCTTGGTGCCACCCCCCACTCCCGGGGATAGCGGACCAGAGCCCCAAATAGGTCCCCTGAGTAAAAAAATCTGTGGGTGGTGTAGGGGGCAGCTGAGACCCTCTGGAAGGGACGCCTGGGACTGGCCTGCAGTGATGAGGAAACTGAAACCTACATACAGGGTGGGTGGGACACACAGCAGGCCAGACCCAGGGACGGACAAACGGACGAGGACAGACACGTGTGCATGTGTGTACCAGCAGATGTCACGTGTCCTTCCAGCAGAGCAAGTCAGAACTATACAGAGGAGAGGCCCATGGACACTCCTGCTCCACTCAACACACACACACGCGCACACGCACACACACGTACACACATGCACGCACACACAAGCACGCATGCACACACACCCACACATGCACACACACTCCTATACCAATATATACAACCATACACCTAACCAGACCCTCATATACCCACACACATCCACACACCCAGACAGACACATACACCCACTCGTGGTGGACATCTTCACACACTCACCCGCACCCCCTGATACACACCCACACCCGCATTCCTACAGACACACATACTCACACACCACCACACTGCCCTAGGGACACACCCATACAGACAGACAGACACACACACACACACACACACTCTCTCACACACTGCCACACTCCCCTAGGTTCACACCCATTCACCCACCCTCACACCCACACTCCCCAACACACAGCACCACACTCCCACACACACACCCTCCAACAGAGAAACAGGGCACATAGCTGCACTCCCCCACACACTCTCACTTCACACACACACACACACACTCCACACAGCATTCCATTGTCAGAGGTATAAGGTTTCCCTGGCATCTGGGACAGCAACATGCCGTGCAGCGGGGAGAAAGACAGCGACCACCCCCCCACAAAATCCCCAGCAACCAAGTCCCACTGCAAAGCGTCCTCACATTCCCCTGAGCGTGACAGTCCATCCCTGCCCCCGCATGACCCACATCCAAATTTAGACAGACCATGGGGGAAGGAGGGCTCTGTGTGTGTGTGTGTGTGTGTGTGTGTGTGTATGTGTGTATGGGGAGAGGAGACTTAGGGGTTCTAAGTGCCAGCCTGTAATGGTGACACTGGGTACTTTGGGGGTTAGCAGGAACACAGACATCAAAATTGCATGCAATGCTGAAAGTAGACTCTAGACCAAACATGACTGCCACTCAACGCCTCTTTTGCAAACCACAGCACCCAAAAGGAGAGCGAGAACAAAAGGGAATGCCCTGCCACAGAGGCAGGGTGGGATGGGGGGATGGACGGTGGAAGGGATGCTGGGATCAGTGGTGGTGGAGGATGGACACTGGTGGAGGGATGGGTACTCGATCATTGTATAACTG